CATCAAACAAAGCTCTACATACAAAGAGTTATAGATGTATGCGGAACAAAAGGAATCGAAAAATATAGAAGGCAAAAACAAAAATCTAGTAAAGAAGATAGTGAAATCTACCTCGATTGGCGAAGGAGAACAATAGACCTAAAACAGAGAAGGGAAGAAAGGAGAAGATAGGAGAGGATAAGAGAGAAGAAAGTGAGATTGCAAGAGAGAGAGAACAGAGAGCAAAAGAAGGTGCAATGCGCTTCTTGTGTTTTACGTTGGATTATGCGATCAAATAAATATGGAAGAGATTATTCATGCTCTATGCTGTATTGTAACGACATTGCATTAAAAAACCTTTTTGTGAATGATTTTACTATATATATTATTCATGGGCTAACACAAGGGTAACCCGAGGGTTGGTCGATTGGGTTCATGCGTTAAGCTTGACCGATGGGTCAGGGTTTAAAATTCTCAAATTACCGGAGGACTACATTAGGTTGGGTTAGGGTTGGCCCATGGGTCACCCAACCCGGTGGGTAGCGGTGACGACCCAACCCATCTGGCACCTCTGATTTGTATCATGAGTTCTCACATTTATTTTGAACAAAATTTTTCTTCCTTGGGATGTAAATCATAAAATTTTGGAACTAAATGAGTATCATTTGAATCTAAGTGTAAGAATGTATTTTTATTTAATCAAGCTCTTGTCTTAATCATCGTTGCGATATAGTTGAGCTGCACAAAAGATAGAAATGCAAAATAAAAAAATTAATGCGTTTTCTTTTTATTACTATAGATATTCTTACGGGGATATATCATTCATGATCATAATTTTCATCATATGAAAATTGTTTGCATTTTGGATCTGCCTATTAAGTTTTGTTTTGATGAGATTAATGGCGACAGTGTGATGACACAATACATTATCTAATATTCATTTTTAGAGATCATTATATCTAGACATCAATAAAATAAGTTTGATGCACTCAACGAACGTCGAATATGAATTGATTTGCAAGTCAACAATATTTGACGAAATTACCAAAGTCTATGCATTTTAATTTCGTTGATAGAAGAAGAAAACTAATCGCGACAACTACGATACTATGATGCACATGAACAGTCATCGCCTCTATTTCAAATTATTGAATTTAATTCTTCTTTATTGACAGTATATCTTACAAATCTTTGCAATTAAAATTGTCTGAATATAACCACTTTCTTCAACGTTTTTGTAATTATTATTCAACACTTCACAGATCGTATGAGATTCAGAATATGCATTATACTGGTCGTCTAAGCAACAACCAAAACGAGTCATATTATATGTTTCAAATGGAATGCAGTCTTAATAAACAAACGCATTATCACCCTCGTAAATTCATAAAATTGATCGTGTCACGTATAATATCGTGTTTCTTCAAGCAAAAATATGAAATCAGCTGAATGATATATACCTTGGAGAGAAAGCGACAACATGATAGCATTGACAGAAAATGTTTCTTAACAGATTCCAAGCTAGAGTTGCAACATAATTAGGACGACGATTCAAGTAGCTGTTTACCAGCTTCAATAGCCAATTGATTCTGAGCATCTGGTCCGTCTAATTTGGCAATGAAATTCGCGAGTTCAATGCGACGTTGTTTGACTTTCTTTTGGTAAGCACGTTTTCGCTCAGCAACGAGACTGAGAACTGCAGCCTGTGTATCTTGCGTGTTGCTATTCAGCTCAGCCAGGAGATTATTTCGCTCGTTATCCGTAGATGCAGTGAGCATTTTTGAGATACCAGCAAGACGTTGCATAATGAATCTAGTCGACATGTCGTAATAGGTTCGAGCCATCGTATAGAGCATACCCGATTGAACTTCGATGTCATCCGCTTGAGCTTTGAGAATATCGATGTAGAAGAGGCGTTCATCAAGCGCGAGGACGTCGGTTTGATTTGCTTGGTTGATAAAAGGTGTGAGTGTTGCACTAAGGATGAGTTCATTTTTTGTAGCAACTTCAGCAAAAAATAAGACAAGTTGACCCCACTGTTCCCGTACACGGGAAAGAAAACAAAGAGCTTCACGCAAAAAATCAATCAATTCCTTGTAATGAACTTTATTCATGTCCAATGTAGCAATTTTCCCCATCAATTTAGCTAGATCTTCCTGATTTTGTTTGAGATGCTCGAAGATTTTATCATACCGACTTTCAGCGTCGCGCAGTCGATTCGACGACAGTTGAGCCGCAAACTTCTCGTTCTGTGAACTATCACCCGAGCCGTCAGCAGATGGTGGTGCTTTGGGTACTTCAGCACCATTCATGCTCTCTGCTGCTGCCATGGGTCTGGCTTGTTCAGCTGGATTATCAAGACGATCGGCGAAACCTTTTGCAACTTGTGAATCAATCTTTTCGCCATTTCGTGCAGTTTTCTTGACTTCGTCGGACACATCTTGAAATAAATCAACACCTTGTTTAATCAGATGGCCAGCTTGATTCTTTAATGAATTTTCTTTTCCTGATTTCAATGATGACAAAAATGTTTCGAATGTCATCTTATAAGCTTCTAGTAATTCGAGGGGATTTTTAGAGCCCGGAGCAACATCGGTATCTGTTCTCAGAATTCCCTTCACTTGTGGAAGAACTTCACTGAAACTGTTTGAAAAGAGCTTGCCGAAAGTTAGTGCTTGACCATTTGCCACACTTCCGCTTCCTCCACCTATGAGACCTCCCTGTTCGCCTAGCCCACTAAGCCCTCCACCACCAAGCGCACCAAGTCCACCTAGTGCACCAAGCCCTCCGCCAGCGAGCGCTCCTAGTCCCTGTCCAACCCCACCAGTTGCGATGCCAATCATTGCTGGCACAGCTACACTGACAATACTTTTCCCCACGTCAATAATCGCATTTCCCAAATTCTTGACTAGCCCGATAACAGCACGGCCTAAATCAAGCAATAGTGCCTTGAATCCTGTCGGAATTTGGTTCAAGGCACGGCTATACTCGAATTGAGCTATTTTAACTGCATCTTGAGCTTAATTGTAATGAGAACGAATTGTTTCACCCACTTTAGTTAATTCGATTTGCATGACTCGCGATGCATTTAATTCGATTTCAGTTTGCCGTAGCCTTGTCTCAGCTGAGCCACGTGTCATCTCTGTTGACGAAATAACTTCACCAATCAAGTTCATCACTGAGAGAAACGTATTGTGCGTATTATTTGCCAAGGCGTTCAATTTCTTTTAATGTGCTCGGCAACAATCTTGAGATGATATTTGTTGTTGTTCTTCGAGATGCCAACACATTCAGTGCTAGTTGAACATGTTTAGGAATGTATTGCATCGACTGCTGAATACGGTTCATATTCATGTGGGCTGCTAGAAAGGCTTCCCATCCCTCTGAATGGAAGTAGATAATACTTGAATGATTTTATAGACCAATGGAGAAAAGCGAGAATTCCCTGTATTCTCGAGCTTGGTTGAAATTGTTTTTGTAAAATTTTGAGCTTTTCCAATCTTTATATTGGCTAGTAGTATGCTGGTTTAATAGTGGGAGTTCAAATATATAATCGTAGTCCACAATTTGACTATCAGTAGAGTGTAACAAAATATTTCGACTTTAATAATCGATAAATTTATGTAGGCTGGACTCCTACTAATATACCAACATAGTAGTGAATATAAGTGTTGAAAAGGCTCAAAAGTTCGTAAGAATACTTTCGATTGAATCTAGGAATTCACAGGGTGTGGCAGTAGGTTTGCTTATAAACTCCTTTTCACTTCATTTCCAAAATTCCAAAATTTGTTTGGCCTCGATATTATGTTGAATTATTTTTTTTTTTATTTTTTTTCACCAAAGAGAACTGCAGTTTAATAGACAACTAACTATATGAGCTGAAATAAGAGTATTTTTGAATTTTATAATGAATAATTTTTCAAATTCAATTGAAAATAACTTTTATAGGGAACACTCTTTTAGTTTTTTTAAATTAAATCAAAATATTTTGAAGCTCAAGTTAAAAAGAATTACCCAGCCTAGTTTAATTGGTGCTAAGTAGAAGCCGTAGGATTGGTTTTCGAACTTACGTACTCATGCATAACAAATATCACTTTATTCATTTTATATTTTGGAACTCATTTCTTTAAGAGAACTATGTAGGGGTGTAGAAAGTAAGGATTGGAGTATGAATATTTCGTGGGGATGGAAAGAAGGTGCAGATTCACATCCTCATCGATATCGTTAACTGAACATTCTGGGATATAGATGCAACTATTTTCTAACGAAACAAATGACCCAAATCGTAAAATCTAGTACAATTATTTATACAGTTCCAATAGTTGAGAAATCTCAAATGCTTTGCACAATAGCCCTCATATTGATTCATTGAGGCGTGAATCGGACTACAATTGTAAGTTTCGAGATAAAATACATAGTTACAATTGATCCAAGGGACTAACTTCGAAGACTAATTTTGCGAACTTTTCATTTTATTCAATACTTGGTAAGTCATAGCTTTCCAGTCAACACTATTCTTCCTACCCTGACAAATAATGATTAATAGGGAAACGAAACATGTTAGTTCTAATCGATATTAATTACTTTGGTTTTTCCTGCCCTTTCATGTACAAAGGAAAATGAAACAGAAAAGCTTTTTGTGTACCTAGTATTGATACATATCTTATAAGAAAATTTTTTTAGACTTAGAAATTATCAGGCTACGTTTTTTATATGGAAGAATAAATATCACTCGACCTTCACAATTCAAAGAGAACTTGGAGGTATCGACTGAATCTTTGAGAAAAAGGCAGACAGTTAGAAAGCGAAAAGAATAGACGTGCAGAACTCGATATGGATCTCGAATATTCGAGCAAAGTTCAAACAATCCAGTACATGTGAAATCTGTTTTCTTCTCCATTCAAATCCAGTAAGTTGAACTGTTCATTAAAACTTTCAAAAATGTCATAAAGGATGAGAAAAAGACTGCTTCGAAACAATTAGCATCAAAATGATCTCATTATCTTCTCCTCTCTGATAATTTAAAAAAAAACTATTTGTCAAGTTTACGATCTTCTTTCAATATGTTATGCTAATTTCGCTCGGAAGAAAACAAGAGAATCTTCCATAAAACAAAGTAGATCGGTTGTAGTAGTCTAGTGTAAACAAAATCCGTATTCTCTAATATGACGAAAATCATTGTAACTAATTGGATCAAAAGTCAAGCTAATACTGCAAATCTAATGTTACTTTTTTTTATTTAAATCAGAAAACTATAGCTGATCCTAAGACAAAATTTATAATTTATCTTCGTTGTCAACTAGCGATAAATCTCAATTTCATACATTAAGAGGCTCTGAGACAGTTTCTTCTTCTCTTTGAAACTCTTTCTCTCTTGTCTTTTAGTAGACAGAAAGACTGTGCTGCTCTCTGATTAATTTAAGCATGTTCAACTGTCAGATTGCTGAATGAACAAAAGGTTACACATAAGATGCTATAGATTCATTTGATTCGACGTATTTCTTTTGTCTCATTAATTTATCTTATTTATTGCTGCTATTTGATATTTCTAACTTGAACATTTTCCCTTGAAAATAAAAAAAGTAAACTGGCATGTTGTCAAAATAAATTTCATATCCATCTAATTAGGTTGTGTCTAGAATTTTAAAAATAGATAATCCTAGTGAACTATCTTGGGGTAAACGCATGAAATCTATCAGCATCTGAAGCAAGAACATCATGGGCTATGGACAAATCTCGATGTCTGCACAAGTCAAGTATACGGGTGAAAAAAGTTTATCTAGGAAATGATTTTCCTCAATAGTTAAATACAGCTTTTCTAGCCATGCGATAAAGCAGTGAAGTCTTGGCATTGAGTTCTATGAGAGTTTCAGGACTAGAGTGGGAATCATAGAGATAAAATATGCATTTCGGGAATGCCATTTGATATTATAAAAATTCCGAGACTCTCATGGGAATCTGGAATCCGCCTTTCCAGCTCGCTTCGAAAGAATTTAAAGATAGTTACTTGAAATATTTTGACTACCAGTGACAGATCGATGAAAACGAGTCCGAGTCCATACGTCTATGCCCGAGTACAAAGATTGACGAAATGTATGTGCTGTTGCGCCACTAGTTAGAAGTAGCACAGCTATAATCGAAAGATAAATGTCTCGATAATTATCCGCAAATACATTGATTCAACTTACAGATTATCAAGAGCATGATGAAGAGTAGATTATCCCCCGGCAAGATCTGCAATGATAATAAACGTGAGTCGACTTTCAACTGAAATCCAACGACAAAGTTTTGAATTGAGATTCCTGTTTGCAATGTAGACACTTGCAATAGCTCTCTAGTGTCGATCTCACATCGTTACATTCGATAGTTTGCGTTGTGTTGATAAAAACTGGTCGTCTCTTCTGAATAAAAACAAATCTACTCAATACAGTCAACTTCGTTGTAGGAGATAAAAAGAATTAAGAAAGAAGGCTTATCAAGTGGAGCTCAATACGTTGTTATGAAAATTGAAGATGTTTCTCTTCAAATCGTTTGTTGAATTCGACATTTTTCTCTGTGAAAAAGATGTTCTGATTTGTAGAACAGACTTCAAACTATGCATTCATTCTTCTTTAATGCCAAACAGGCTATTATGCTGACACGATCATCTAGTTTTATAATGAATACTTTTCGTTGAAATATTATGCTAGTAAGGTGTGCGATTCTAAAATCAATCGACTATTATTGATTGACGCGAAATACCTACTTCCTTTTGCTTTAAATTAAATTCAATGCATATTGTATTATTCTAATTTGGCAGGCAATCAAATGGAATTTATTCTGGTTCGATTAGATTCCACATGTATAGTCGATTCAACATGTGTACACATATCTTCCGTCCATCAATTAGCTGATTGAAATTTAAGTAGGAGAGTGCGCGGTTCCATTTTTCTATAGAAAGCCAAATGGCTAAACAAATATGAATAATTACTGCAACAAAGCACATTTTATTCCACTTATGCAACGAATAGCCTCAATTAATTACAGGCTATATTTCAGCTCACCAATTTAGATCTTGAACGATCAAGGGAGAATGTTGTTGATAGCAATTATAAGGTGGATATTATGAAAAAATCTACACCATCAGCCTCTAATAAATAAATAAATAAATTTTTCATTTCAAATTGTGGATACAAATAAAACTACATCCTATTCTCTAACATGGAGCAGCAGTGCAGTTGCTTTCATTGAATAAAATCTTTTAATTCTTTTTTAAAATTAAATAGGTATAACTTAAATAAGATTTATATTCGTCGGGCTTTTCTTTGATTTTTGATTGATATATGATCCAATATTGGTTTAACATTTGATTGACTAGTTCTTTTGAATGCTGCTCATTCATTTCGAGAGCTGTTTTCAGTATTGGTTCACACCAAGGACGCATAAATTCTGTTCGACTTTGCGCAAATTCATCAAGTGTGATTTCTCCGTTTTCCAATTGTTCATAGAAATTAATTAGATTATTACGAAGTTCTGCTCTTATTAATTGAAATGAATATCGATTAAAAAGTTCTTCGTCGACACATTCATTATATGAACGAATGTGTGATGGAATAGTATAATTAAATAATTCTTCTGTTGTTAAATGAATTTCCTCAGCACATTTATAAAGAAGATCTTTTGCATTTTGATTTCCACACTGTCCTTGATCATTAAGAGAAGGTATAGTAAGAATAAGAATACCACCTGGAATTAATTCACGAGATCGATTTTCAAGAAAATTCATATAATCCATACGAGCCTGTGATTGAAATGCAATCAATTCATCACCTGTAGCAAATAAAGATACACAATGATTTGAAATATTACATGGTTTCTTTGACAACCAATGTATAGATGTCGACGAATGACCTATTGAAAGCGAATTGTTTGGTAAGCATTGTTCATAAAATGAATGACCACTAACTACAGCTTGGTAAGAATTATTGTCGATGAGAAGTTGAAAAACTTTTTTCCAATCATTTGTTGGGAGATCATTATGAATAATTAGAGGCTCTCGATGTAGCTTGTTCTTCTCGCGCAAACAATTAATTATTAACTTCATAGCGTAAACTGAATTTGCGCCATGTGATGTACCGAAATCAGCAATAATTAAAGGATTGCTTAAGAATGAATTATCAATATCCAAAGCATCAATTGCTTGATGAATGAATGAAATCGATAAATTGATAGCAGTCAATTGAGGCTGAGAGTTTGTATTATAAGATCCTGTTACATTCACTAAAGTGTCGGACATTATTGTAATCGACTAAACAAATAGAAAGAAAGAAAGAAAGAATACAAGTAATTTGAATACTATTATCTTCTCTTATCTTATTTAACGAATCAAAACTGGCATACATAATGCTTTTTCTATTTCAATACTGCCCAAGGGTGGATGAGATAAAATTTCAGAGCGATGATAAGAATTCGTCCAACATTCGAAGTTAATCTTCGAGTAAATTAAGCTTCGGCGTCGTTCATCCTGTTCAAAGCATAAACTTCGTGTTTTGACATTCTATGATGTTCCAGTAGTGTCAAACTTGAAACTTGAATTCAGTTGAAAATAGAAAATTTCAACTTTGAACGCATAGCGATATATGTGTGAGTCACGATTCTTCAGAATGCTATTGGTTTAAAAGTTGGAAATTTCAATTTTCAATTGAATTCAAGTTTGACATATATGGAGCTGTATATACACATACCACTCATTTTTGAAATGTTTTGGATCTCAAATAGTCGATTTCTTTGTTGACAAGTTTTACAACTAATCTTTTAGTGAACTTTGGATATTTACACTTCCGAAAATATGAATATTTGCTGGATATTTAATCGTTTAACATTGCGGACTAAAATTTCGACAGTATCAGAGATCAAAATCGAATTGAATGAAATCTTTTCTCTCAAATTCAGTTAAAAACGATCTCTTCAGCTATCTTTTTTTCTTGTGTTCGAGTGCAATTAAGATAATATGAGGGTTGATGCCTGACAAACAACATATTATATCTGTTAAGTTTCATTTTTTTAGTCTATAATCGATCGTAACTCTAGTAGTTCCATTTTGATTAACTGAAGGTGTAGGTGTGGATGAGGATAGTGTATTGAGCAACACCCACACCCTCGGTTCCTTTCTGGTTTTCGCAACTAACTAATAATTAAACTGAGATAATCAATCGATTTATTTTATTTCATTGAAAAAGTATTATCACATAGCAAAAATAAACTAACCGATGCATACACATCATAGCGTAATCTCTGGATAATAGTGACACAAAGGATTTCCATCATGAGGATTGCATCCAGCTGGCTGATAGTAATAGCTCGTTTCAGGACCGGTAAATAATGGTTTTGTTTGTGCTTTACAAAAACGACCGTTTATACCAGTAGCGCAGACATACTCATTTCGATGCATATAGCCAAAATACCTAAAACGCGCAACTTGAGTTCGCGGAATTAATTGAGTAAGAATTAAAGTATGAATGGGTGCATCACCCCATCGATGACGATAAATACCACCATTAAGATCCACCTTATGAAGCCAAGCTCTTATTAATGAATGATCACGAAAAAGAGAAACATTAGCTATAGCGAAATTTGTAAAAATAATTGCAAGTGAATAGCTATCGAACCAACCAGTTTGTGTAATACGAAAAGCAGTTGAAGGTTCCAAACAATGATCTTTGAGAAATTCGTGAAAAATTGACCACAAACCAAAAACATGAAGTTCATCGTCTACATTAACCATAGTAAAAGCATATTGAATTTTTCGGTTTTGCATGATATCAAATGGATCTTCAATAGGTTTTCTTCCAAATATGTATGAATGTGTATCAAGTCTCCAATAAAATGAAAATAACGTTAATAAAGGATGGCTTGGAAGCATCAAAGTAAAAAACCGGCACATATGAAAATACTTCGGTGGGAATCGGCGATGAACGGGTTTAGTACGAAATGAATTGTTAGAAAACTTGATCTGTTCAAATGCTAATGGAGTACGAATTCCTAATGTTTGAGCTAGTGATTGTTGAATGTCATTATCACTAAAATCACCTTCATGAAAAATGACAACAGGTCTTGGATTATTTGACAGCAAACGAGACAACTGTGCAAGTGATATTTTAAGTGATTGAATTTCGCTATATACAGCCAGATAGACAATAACACCGAGATATGATTCTGGAGCAACATTTAGCCAATTGACACGCCATTCAGCTTGATTCTTTTGCTCTATATGTAATGTTCTCCAATGATACCATTGACCAGTGACACTATTTTTATATTGCCATTCATCTTGACGATCAATTACTTCATTATCAGGATTTTTAGGCACACATACTGATGGTTGTGTTTGTTTTGAATTAAATTTAATAGCAAAAAATATAAATCCAATAAGAGAACATGAAACGATACATGAACAGCGAAATCGACTTGTGCATCTGTTTCGTACACGCCTCATTCTGTCTAATGAAAGAAGAGAGATGCGTCAAAAATTTACAACATTAAAGTATTTATTCACTTGTGTACTCACTTCAAAGAATGAAAAGCAAATGTATACATAATTTATATTATATGCACTAACGTCAACCCATGTATGTGTAGCTATATTACACGTTACGCATGAGCATACGTTAAATTCTTAATTAAAAACTGAAAGAAAAAAGACGACCTGTCTTGCCCATGTAAACACGAAACACAAAGTTGATGCGTTGAAACGCAATCTAGCCATAAAACGAGTTAAGATTCAGTTAAAAACGTTTCACGGCGCATTCAAACGCGATTTGATATGAAATGCGTTCGGGCGCAGTTTTTCTATACAGCACGTTTAAACGCAATTAGAGAACAAGTGAACCGCGTCTCAACGCCTATCCAAAAAATAATTACCGCGTTTGAATGCATTTTATCTATTAACTGCATTCAAATCGATCTCAGATATGTTTTCAGTCGCGTTTGAACGCTGTCATATTTCCGATCACGCTTGCACGCGTTCATTTCTTACTTATCAGACGGGATTTCGCTCCAAAAATAAAATCTCTAGAAGACTTAAGTGCATGATCAAAATCGTCGGTTTACATATATTTTATTTATCTAAACTTCGTTAGACTTTTTAATAAAGAATGTTCAGATGATGTTAAAATAGGCACAAATTTAATTAAGTGTAAAGCATATATTCCATATTTTCCTAGAGTTTCTACGAATATTAATGAGACAAATCGCAATAGTTATCAGTTATCCAATGCCCTTTTAGCTGACTGAACAATATTACTGCTTAAATTATATGATTAACAACTTTTATCATATACTTCTACAAAGTAAATTGTATGAATAATTATTTATTCATTAAATCCTTTGATAAAATTATTTATCATGTTACCAATGCGATTAAATATTTTTTTATAACGTTAATCACATTTATAGTAGACGATAAAAAAGGATATCATTTTAGTAAAAACATAATTATAAAACTATTTAAAAAGATAAGTAAAAGAAATCAGATTACCTGTTAAATATTATGCATCGAAAAAAGTACAGCCATGCCGCTCAAACCGCTTTAAAACCGGTGGTTAACCGAACGGTTAATTACGGTTCTCCAGCTAACGCGCTATAAAAATAGTTGTTCGTTCATGACTTAGCCAATAGGAAAATTAATTAAGACATATCAGAGAATGCACACTATGGAATAATTATTTCGATTTTTGTGAGTTGCAATCCACTATTTATGGACTAAAAATATTAATTTAGAAGAAAAACTATTAAAAAAGCGATAAGCGATGAGAAACTGCATTGAACCGGCGGTAACCGACGGTTTTGATAAAAAATGAGCGACACGGACATGTTATTGAAATAAAGTATTTAAGCGATGAAATTTTCATTCATATATATTTTATTTTGAACGAGAAAAAACTTCGAGCTATATAGCAAAGTGATGTATGTGAACGACTTCTGATTACTGATTCATTTGTTTAAATATAATCGTCATCGCGTAAGGTAAAATTCGATCCGACTGTCAGGTTAGTCTAAGTGCATCACTAAATCTTGAGAATGCGGACGCAGTGCGAATTTGAGAATCTAAGATAGATTCTGATATATTTTGCCAAAGTTTTATATTTTATATGAAACGCATTTAGACGTGTTTTTGTTAAAAAAAACAGTTTGAACGGAAGTCAAATTACGAACACACCCAAACACGTTCCTAAAATAAATTGCGTCTAAACTCTTCGCTTGTTTCACTGGGGACGCGGTTTTAGGTTAAAATAAATTCACATGGATGGCTACAGCTTATGCAATCGTCATAAAGTATATTTATAATATATACACCACACTATTTGACACTTGGGTCGAGTTTTATTACTGTTATAGTCAGATCAGAAATGATTGCAGAGTCTTTATGTGGAGATTGGTTGGATTTATTAGAGTATTACGTACAACAATAAAATAGAACAAAAATAAACTTCACCTGCATTTGTTTACTTGATTTTGTTTTGATTTCGATTAGATTCTATTGAATCTTAAGAATTTCGAAGATTGCACTTAAAATCTGATACCATCAGATTTCTTCAGATCCAACTATTGTGGCTCTCTTTATGAATCTGCATTCATCGAGCTTTTTTCTATCCAACTCTATGGAACAATCTAAATCATAGCTTTATAGGAAATCCTGATATTATATCAAACACTTTGACACTTGAAATTAGAAGTGACAAATTTTTATTTAAAACAAATTGAACTTTTCAAAAAATCAAATTTCAATTTGTTTCTTGTTCTGTAGAGTTAACGCTATAAGTTGTTTGTCGACGAATTTTACTCATAAGTATATGTTTTTCAGTATTCCAGTATTTTATAGAAGATGAATCATACATAGTCTTTAAAGAAATTTTGATTGTTATGAACTACTTTTAACCTAAAATATCAGATGTTCTTTTCTACTTTTTTTTATTATGTACTAGTGTTAAAGTCAATATAGTTTCCTGCTAGCGACGATGAATTTCCACCCAAGCAATCTATTCACTTTGAAATTTAAAATATATTGACTATAAATCGGCATCTTTCGTTGAAATCATGCTTGAACTACTAAACATGATTTTTATCATACAGGTTTCTGTAATAAGATATGAGATCAAAATTATGATAGTATTTATATGCGTACGCGCTGTTTTTGTGTTAAATATTATAATGTGATAGAAAAAAAAACGAATAATTTCAACATTATCGAAATACAAAAACCCACATAATGATGTCTCATAAAATTAATTTCATTGTATTTATTGCTTTTATTTTTATAATTCATATAATAATAATAAATCAACTTTGATCAGTAATATTATTTTTTCACGTAGTCTAAAAGAAGAAGAAAGAAAAAAACGTGGCAATGAAGCATCAAGCGCTGCTTATAAAAATAAAGAGAGAGAACAAATGTGTGTGATAGATATACGAATCAGACCTATAAATTCCATCAAAATGATTCTCAGACTAGTCAAGAGAAAACAAATTCGTTTTAGAATAAAGTATCAACGAATCGATTTCTCAATGATCAAATGCGAGAAGAGATTTACTGGTAAAATAGATATTTTATCTGAATACTAAAGAATCATGAGTAGAGGTTATTTTTCTGTTTAGTATTGACGATGACGATGCATAATTTTGTTTTGATGTTAAAAAAAAATCATGGTCATACAAATAAAGTACATCAGTTATCTGTACTCCTAGAGGGCATTGCAGTGCATATTAAACCGATAGAGGTGAAGGCTATATAAGCAAATGTTTACAAACAGCTGATCACTGTAAAGTATATCATAAAATCACCTATACGCTCAAGAGAAGAACACAGTATAAAAATGCACTTTGACGAGCGTCCGTCTTGTTTTCGTAATTTAGCTCATGAAATACTTTACGTGAGTGTACTTTCTTGTGCTCAATTACTTACACAAGCAGCATTGGGAAATATACTCGTTCCACTTGCTATAATTGGTCCGGCTATTGGTATCGAAGATACCCCCAAATTACCGTGGACGTTAGCTGCCTACTCTTTAACTGTTGGCATTTTCATAATGGTGACAGGACGTTTGGGAGATGTTTTCGGACATCGATTACTCCTAATAGCGGGATATTTGATATTCTCTATTTTTAGTCTTTTGGTTGGAATGTCTGCTTATGTAAAGAATGGTATCTATTTTGATATGATGCGAGCATTTCAAGGAATAGGCCCAGCTGCACTATTACCTAATGCAATTGCATTACTTGCCCGAACATATCCGACTGGAAGAAGAAAATCATTCGTCTTTTCCATGTTTGGAGCGACAGCACCAACTGGCTTTATTCTAGGTGCTTTGTTTGGAAGTTTATTTGCACAATTTTCTTGGTGGCCCTGGGGACAATGGATATTAGCTATTTTTTGTGCATTTCTTGCTATTTTGGCTTATTTTGTTGTTCCTCAGGAAGTATCGTTAGCTGTTCACCCAACAGGTAAAATTGATATACCGGGTTCAGCTGTTGGACTATCCGGTCTTATTATGTTTATATACTGTTGGAATGAAGGACCGGTTACTGGATGGGATAAACCCTATGTATATGTTTTATTAATTGTCAGTATTTTGTTAATAGGTTTATTTATCTTTGTTGAAATGAAAACAGAACAACCAATTATGCCATTATCCATTTGGGCAGTGAAGGGTTTTCCAGGTGTTCTTATATGTATGGCTTTGGGTTGGTCAAGCTTTGGGGTATTTATTTATTATATTGTTCAATTTCTACAAAGAATTTGTGGTGCATCAGCATTGTTAACAACAGCTATGATGTCACCTGTCACCATATCTGGTCTTGTAGCGACACTTTCTGTATCTCAAATATATGGTCGTTTACCAGCTCATTTTCTTCTCATGGCAGCGATGGTTTTCTTTTGTATTAGTAATACTCTAATAGCAACAACACCAGTTGATCAAACATATTGGGGTCAAGTATTTGTATCTACACTAGTAGCTCCCTTTGCAATGGATGTCAGTTTTCCTGCTGCATCACTTATTGTCAGTAACGCAATGCCAATAAATCAACAAGGTGTAGCAGCCAGTATGCTCAGTACAGTTATTAATTGGTCCATTTCTCTCGGTTTGGGTATAGCAGGAACAGTTGAAAGTGAATTATTAAAAAACGGCAAAACTGCACTAGAAGGTTACCGAGGTGGATTATATGTTGGAATAGGACTCAGTGGTGCAGGCATTCTTGTAGCACTTTTATTCTGTCGTGTATCACCACCACAAACGCCAATTGAAGAGAAAAAACAATCAAGTTTAGCCGAAACAACAGTAGCAACATCGGATACAATTATAAATACAAATACGACTCAAGGTGAAGGATTAGAAGGAGAATTTTCGATAATATATCGTTTTTAAAGACATTACTGTCATGGAACAGTATTGATATAGAATAGAGAGATAATAGAAAGTCTTGCATTGAATCATGTAATTATAGTACGTGCAAAATAATTATTAATTGTTAAAATAAAAATAATTCGATATAATTGAATAATTTCGTGAGAATTTCTGTATAGTATATGGAAAAGTTATTTCTAGATGCAATTAAAATCAGAGAAGAAATATTGTACAGTTATATTTGCAATATATTTCAATCGGAAAAATAGACATTTTAGAATAATTTCAAAGGAGAAAAAGAATATTTCTGTTTATTTCTAAGTATTTCTAGAATACAGACGTGCACTTTTCTCCCTTGACTAAAATACATAGTAAACTTCTAAGATGAATATGCCACTCATTATATCCGCCAGTCTCTATGGCCGGTATCAGTTCAACAACAATATGAATGATTTTATTTATCGATGTAATTGTGCATATATTATTAAATAAAGACTGTCTCACAGGACAACCATTACATACCATATACTTTCAAGAGGTCCTAAATATCCCTTCATTCGTAGCTATGATCGATTATGCTGATAGATACAATCATGTTAGCTGACATAGGCGAAGATCTTCCGTTTCTATCATAACATGATCTCATGCTTTCCATAAATATTTATGGGATCATATAAAATCTTCGGACTTTACTTGTTTTGCTCTTGGTGGGAAAGTCTGAATGGAAGACTTCGGAATCAGTGAACCTAACCAGCTAGTAGGTAGAAGAAGATAGAGATAGTCATTTGATACATTTCTTAATGGAAGCATTCTTGTAACGGAGATACTTAAAGCACTGATAACTCGAACACCATTTTCCATTTGGAATAGTCGTTGTTTTAGCGATCAAAGATACTTGTAACCTCATCTAACACTAACTTACATCGCAACGCCTTTCGCCTTAATAAAATTCTATAAAAATTAAAATCCTTCTTGCTGTTGTTCCACATGCCCCTATTTCGATTTTGAGCAAAGAAGATTACGAAAATAAATCCACTGTAATTATAAAATTAAAAACGGAGATAACTGACGAATCTTCTATCACTGATGAAGTCACAGTAATAATTGTTAAATGTGTACACACATCCACGCCGTCGCCCTAGTTGATTTGCGAAGAGAAGGAGATGGAATAAAGAATCGATCATTACTATTCGAAGAGCAACGTTTCTTTTGGTTGATTCATTTCATTTAATAATAGCTCTTGTAATAAATCATTATATCCAATAAAACTATAGATTTTTCTTGAAGGTATTCTCGATAGGCTGTTTGAAAATCATTCCAACCGATAAGGCTGTACTTTGTGTTTGAATCCAATGTGCATAGTTTTATGTATATTACAGATTGTCGAACGTACACGGATCGAAGATATAATTTTAAGGTTGGGAAATTAGTTATTTTCTAGCAACTGGCAATGCCTTTCATAGTAATGGTTACTGGATAAATATGTCGAATGTTGCATTTTAGATACACGAAAGCAGCATTCTTCACCTGTGTGTTCATAAAAAACAGTGTGATAATCATCAGAATCACACAAACTGTTATGTCAGGTTTAGATATCAAATACAATGGCTCTGGCAGTGGACGATTGATCTTAATAGCATGCCAAAGAACAAGAACCAAGGCTAGTGAATCTCCACCAGCAAAACTGCCTATCACAATAATCATATTTCTAACTAACTTCATTTGACATCTAGCCTTGGGCATATTATAATTTGCGTTCTCTGCAATTACAGATCCAACGCGGCGTGATGATTGAAGGACACGATACCAAATCGTAGCGTAGATCAAAATAGATAAATTCAGAGGGATGCCAAAGCCGACGAAAGTGCTAAATATCGATATAGACACCACTTTTGCATTACGAACACAAAGACGTGACTCTCTTTCGTAGATAAAACCATTCTTGAAAAATAATGGTTCAATAGCAAATAGAAGACCCATAATCCAGTACAAAGCAATCAAATACCAAGTAACTTGAATAGTGACTAAATGCTTATGTTTGAAAAATACAGTGCAACAGAGACGATTAATCGCCTGTAACATATAGGAACAGCAAATTAAGCTACAAGATGCTAGAAAGCAGTAAGCATTAAAGATACCAGCTGGTTGATTGAGTGTCCAATCTTCATCGAAGCCAAGTACAGATCCGATAATGGTACTGATATAAAAGATTATAATTGCAACACACGTATTCAACAGAAGAAGATTAGTAGCAGTATGGCATGGATGATAACTAATAATAACGAAGAAAATTATAGAACAAAAGAGTAAACCGACAATTGAAGCTGCAATGGAAAAAGAGAAGATGAGAGTAAAAAATACGTTGGTGAGCATATCTGAAATTTAAAAATGGTACGTTCTAACGATGGAGCAGACGAATCTATTTGTTTTTATGAAAAGAAAATGGTATGCGCAAATTCTTCAGTCTGTAATTAATCCTTTGTGAGCTTCTTTGATTCCATGAATAACGCATTGGCTGTCGTTGATGAGAGGTAACGTAGTACGAGTTTCATATCATTGAGAGAATATATCGTGCAATATATGTTCTACATAATGAGACGTATATACAAGGAGATCAAGTCGGTATTAGCAAAATTAGATGAAAATTGATGACTACGAATTGTGTACCCACTCGCATGTTAAGGGTAGACTAACAGTAAGGAAATAAATGTATTGATTTTTCCTGTATATTGATGATGTACATAGATTGGGTCACGCAAAACAAAAAGAAACTTATAATTTTCAAGATGAAGCATAGTGTCGGTGATATTTTTGGTAAATTTAATACAGACAATAGAATTAGTTGTCCAACTTCATAGAAATTCTATAGTGAATTTTTGAACTAAGAGGATTTAGGGCAGTGTCTGTTACACCTTGAAGAGTTTATCTATTTTAAGTTGGAAAAAAAATAATAAAGTTGAAGTCTCATAAGCATTTTCGACATAAAAGGAAAATATAGGATTTTTCAATTATAATTATAATATAATCACGCCCAAAGGAACAGATGTAATATGGTCTCGATTAAAATTTCAAATCAGATTAGAGGTTCATACAATCATGACAAGAAGAAGAAAATTGAATTTTATATTAGTAACAGTGTTGATGTACAGTCTATCACCCCCTCGAGGTATGTTCAACTGGATGCTGGACTACGATCAGATTTTTATGAATGTTACATATCTCGGACAACAACTGAAGTAAACTAGCCACAGTTTCAAGATACGGCATTTCTCGGACGTGTCAACACGTTTACTTAATTCTCTAAAAAAATTAACCATAAGCATCAGTCTATGGTGAAATGCAAACAGTATAAAAATGTTACTTAACACATTTTTTTACTAGTCTGATAACACTATAACACGGGCCTTTCAAGAAAATATTCTTATCTATCTTTCTTTTCCTGTGTATCCTGAAGAATTCGTAAGAAATACATAGGTCAGTCCAAAAGTACTTGCGGTGGTAAATCAATTTCTTATAGAGAATTCTGAGGAGTTTCCTCTATAGTCTGATAGAGAAAAGAAAGCTCTATTTTTCTATGCTATTTGATGGTACTTTAACTAATATGATGATCATAAATTTTTCATAAGATGTTTTTCTTTAACATGTCTGCTTGTTGTACTATCTCACAATGAGTCAGACCGTTTAGTCTTTTTAGTCCACTAATACATTATACTAACAACCAAAACATGCCATAACATGCAGCGTGAAAAGCTCTACAATTTCTATAAAACCACTTATTTTCTAGTTGCACTTTTTCTTTTCAATATGGGCAAGGTTTTGAGTGATCGAACTTTGGTCGTTGTAAAAACTGATTGTACAGAATTTTCCTTTCTTTCAAAACAGTTTCAATAAACTTTACTGTGCAGATGGTAGAGCTTTTCACGCTGCATATTATGACATATTTTGGTTGCTAATACAACTAACAAGGAGATGAAAACTGCGATGTACAACTTACAACCCGGAACTATGTAAACGAAAAACGTCTTACGAAAAAATGATTATCATCATATTAGCTACAGTACCATCATATAGCATAGAAAAATAGAGCTTTCTTTTCTCTATCAGACTGTAGAGAGAAAAAACTTCATCAGAACTTTCTATAAGAAATTGATATACCTCCGCAACTACTTTTGGACTGACCTAAGTAGAATAAAAGGTGATCATGGAAGAAAAAAAATCTCTCCCGAAATTCCGTTTTCTTTCAATAGAATATGAGTCGATCTTCTTTTTTTGATCATAACTAAATAAATTTTCATAGTCATTCTACAAAGAGTAAGAATAGATTTTTTTTCTTTACTCCATAAATATAAGCATTAATTAGTATTGGTTCTAAATTATGAAGAATAAATAAAATTCTGTTGTAAAGAATAGTTTTTGTGAAGTTTCTTAATTATGTATGAACGAGATGATGTAAAACTTCAAGACGATAATCTACTGTGTGCACATCAGAATACTTTTGTGAGTTAAAAAAGAAAGATATATGCAATTTTGTTTATAGTCTAATATTTTTACTAAAATCAATATTCAACTAGAAAATTATTTTCGTAGAAATACGTATTTGATAGATTCAAATCTTACTTGACACAAGTCTCAATGTAATGATGGTAACTTAATACAGCATGTAGAAAATAAAAACACGAAAATTTTATCGTTAATTTAAACATTTAAGTGAAATTATACAGATCATCGCCCATGAGACATCTACGTTCGGAACTAGATTCGAGCACAGATGCGCGCATACTGTTATTCATTTATCGTGTACACCATTGAGCCGTATGATAAAAAAAGCTCGACTTGTGTGTCTGTTTACACATACGTGAATAGAATATGATAGAATGTTTTTTTGGAAATTTGAATAAAAGATACTCAGGAGTAAAATTAGCATAGATACTTCTGAGGATGCCTCGAAAGATATCTCAATTGGATCAAATTCTATATTTCGATCCGTATTGTGTTGTCCGACAAACCAAACGGAGTTTTACATAAATCCATATTGTCATCGTCGACTGGACGCTGATTTCTTTCATAGTAGTACTGCTGCACGGAATTTAGTGAGTAGATCGAAATTGTAATTCAAAAATCAAAACGAAATACTCAAAAATTTCGAGATGATGTTTAAGATTCATAAACACGCTAATTTGAAGATAATATGCGTATATATTCTTTTACAACTTGAATGAGTTCTATTCATTTTAGCCGGAAAATAAACGTAACATAAAGTAATAAAAGTTTTTCGAAAATAATATGTAACTTTCGCACTATTCAATTATATTAAGTAAACTCAATCACGTGGAAGTATCAAATAAATGTTTAACATAGTCCATCTCATGATATCGATAAAATTGCCACATGAAGTTCTTTCAATGATACTTTAGAATATCTTTCTTTTTATCGTATTCTATAGAAAAAATTTATGATCCTTCGGTAAATACATAAATAATTTTTTGTCTATTGCATTTTTGTTTTTAATACTTATTCTAACATTAAATACAAATTCGGATACAATAAGACAAGTTAAGGCAACGAAAAATTTCATCTGATGAAAGAACCTATCACATTATTTTCATCTCATAAAGAATCAGCACTGTGAGCAAAATAAATACCATTGCAATCATTAATGAAATTTCATAGGATAATTCATTGTCTCCATTCAATGTTTTTACTAGTCAGGTATCAGATAATTATCATATACGTTAAATTTGTATTTGGTTAGAATCAATTAGAAAAAAAAAATTTTAAATTAAAAAACTCGATCAGCAAGAAACATTTGGCAAAGCGCAGGGATTGGACGCCCAGTTGGATTATGTGGTAAATCACCTGCACTGCCAGCAATATCAAGATGTGTATAAGGTAAGGGTTTGTTAGAATTCTGGCCATGTTTATCAAGGCCAGATACTCGAGCCAGGAATGCAGCTGGAAATTGATGACCACGAGATGTAGCACTGCTAGCTTGATTGTTACATTGAAGTACATCAGCTACTTCGCCATGATCAGCAATGAACGCAAAATCCTGCATTGCAAAAGAAGAACATTGTATGACATGTAAAAATAATTAAACAATAAAACGAACTTCTCGTCGAACAGTTGATATCTCAAATGGATCACCAATTTCATCACCAGCTGCTTGAAGTTTTTGTGATGTTTCATTCGCTCGTGCTGGCCCATTATCAACTGCTGCCTACAATTCGGTGAAAATAAAATAAGAACTATTCTTGTGTTTTGGTTTCAAATCAAGTTACTGTATAGTTTGTTCCATATGCTCGAATGACATGTCCAGTAAGTGTAGCCATAGTAAATAAATGTGGATTGACTTCATTCAATGCCAATTCTTTGATGTAACATAATGGGTCAGCCATAACCATACGACCTGGAATTGAAAAAAAAGAATAAATCTTAGTAGATTTTGGTTTTTCGTTAGGGAATATGTTGTCCAGAAAGATGACGCTATTTTTATTAAAGTTTATTTTAAATCCAATTTCACAAAACAATCGGGATATTTTTCCAACAGTTATTATGAGATAGAATGATTAAATCTAAGATTTTTTCTTAATTCAATTATCCGACAACTCTTAATAGTAAATTCTCTGTTAAATTTTAAATAATAATTTACCTTCTGCATCAGTATTTCCAACTCGAATACGAACACCAGCTCGTGATGTTATAACTTCATCTGCAGTATAACCTTCTTCACCGCAATTATTTCGTGCTACAGCTAAAACGCCAACAGCTTTGAATTGTTTTGGCTGAAGTTCACTAAGAACTTTAAAAAAGCCCGTAACATTTGCAGCACCACATTTATCATAGGACATGCCAGCCTGAATTATCAAGAGTTCAAGTTTTAACAAACAAAAACAAAAAAAAACATTTGAAACTTACCATAATACCACCAGCTAGAAGAAGAATAAAATATATGTTAGAATTTGATTAGAAAACGAAGAATTTGATATACCTTTGATATCAAGGCCACCTGTATCGAAGGTTACGCCTTTACCAACGAGTAATGCCGTTGTATCTATTTCACCTTCGCCAATATATTCAAGAAAGATCAAACGACCCTGATGACGATCAACACCTATTAGAAGATCGATCGTTATTGAACTTGAAAAAATAAGATTTTGTTTTGATTACTCACCGCTTGCAGCACGATTAACAGCAGCGAATAATGGAAAGCTTTTTTCAAATTGCTTTTTATCGTTAATTATTCGAACCTACAACAAACATAGACATTCATTAAAGATTTGGCATACGTATATATATATAAATGTTCGGTTGTTGTTTTACTTTAATATGAGGCGAACTGCTAAACAATTCTTGAACATATTCAGCAACACGTGGTGGTGCCATACGCTCAGGATCACCACCACCAATATCTCGACCAACGGCACGTCCACATTCAATTGCTCGCGCATAATTAATTAATTTTTCGTAATAACTATCATCAGGCGATGGTTGACCAATGAAGAAGCCTAATTTATCCACTTTAGTCTTACGTTCAGGTACATCTTCTCGAATTTGTAATGGCTAAAAATGCACATTTTCAGTCAAGATGAATAGAAAAAAGAAATTTCCTTGTATCTTTACCACATAGGTTGCTTCAAGTGCGGCAAGTAATGTAACTAAGTTCGCTTGTCGATATTTTTTTGAACCAAAAGATGCAATAATAGGAGATCGTGCGCCAAGTGATAGAGCTTTCTGAACACCAGCTGATGCTGCATCAGAAAAACAACGTACATCGTCGAAATCTCGGTTAACTGGGCCTGTTGGTGAATAAATCTAAATAATATATTATTGCTTAAACTATGCAGTGCCTCTTTGCTTATACATACGAGACGTTTTCCTGGAACATTGTCAATAATAGTAACCGTAACTTCGCCATTGAAATTATTATGCAACTGAAATCAAAAGAAAATTATTGTAAAAGAAAATCTTTAAAATATTCTCACTTGACTAAATGTTTGAAGATGTTTTATAACTGAACTATCAACAAATTCTGCAATTTGGTCCAATTCTGAGGCAACAACGACCAACGCATCATACTCTTCCAATGGTGATGATACATTTTTTACTAAATTAACATCACTAGAATGAATAAATAAAGAACAAAGGATTCTCAGAAAATAATTTTTGGTATTTTTACTTACGGTACAGTAGCTAATTGATTTGAAGCCATGATCAAAAGACTCTTTACAATCTTAAATAAAAAAATAGTAATGTGCAAGCAAAGCTAAATTCTTTTTTTTACTATTTATATCCTCGTAAAGAAAGAAAAAGAACGGAAAAAGAATCCAAATAAACTATTTTCTTTTTCTTCCGCTGACTATCATACCTGAAATCTTTTCTAGAGCAAATACAACTGAGAAGCCTACAAAACAACGTCATATTCATCACAGTAATTTGCCGTATTCATCATTACCGAGCAGTATCAGTCGAGAAAAGACTAACAGATATATGATAAAGCAATATTAAGAAAGAAACCTCGAACAACGTTCTCTTTTTATTATCGTTTCAAAATGAGGAAAAGATTTCTGTTGTTTAAACGCACACGTGTGAAATTCGACATTGTTATTCTCAAATAACCAAAAGGATGTAACTCCATATAAATAATATAAAAGAAAAACATCATGTTAGTAAGAAAAAAGCCTAAAACAAGACATACAAAACACATGTATATACATAGAAAACATTCTATGGTAAAAAAATACGTTGATATTCTTGAATAGGCGTACGACAAAGTGGACATAATTCTTCGCCGCGATTTCTTGCTTGTAAAGTTTGTGCACATAAATGGCATAAGCCCAAATGGGAACATGGTTGAAGACTATACATAATTTCATTTTCTAAACATATAACACATTGAAGCCGAGCATTAGTGTGATCATCGGTTGCATGGTCATTATTGACTGGTAAAATATTTGGTAAACGATTTGTTTGTCGTCGATTTGTGAAATAGTATTTATGTATTAGATAAATAGCTGTACCAATAGTAGCTATGCCAAAGCATATACTAAAAATTCGAACATAATAGGAGCGATCACGATATTCAGAAATGATTTCAGCGCGCGATGATCGTGTTAATATTCCACCCCATGTTTTATGTGGAACAAGACACCAAATACCATTCGACTGTTTTTCAAGACTACCCACACCGGTTAATGAACTATCGACTAATAACATTTCCTCTCTTGTTTCAATACCTAAATAAAACAAAAGTAAATTTTAGTTTTTCTATTTACATGACTAGTCCTATTTTGTTTTTAACCTTTTGATAGATCTCCAATAAAAGTATCAACCAATTTCTGCATGGCAGATGTAGTATTCGGTTCAAATTTTACATGAGTTACTTGTAATTGATTTACCACTGAACTAAATTTTAATGGTTGATCGATACGAATATAGTTTTCTGATGGTGAAATAAGTCTGAAAGGTATGTAATGTGATACATCACTAATAGTTTTATATGTTTCAGTCCTTAATTGAAGAGAAAGGAAATTTATTGTGAAAATATTTTTTCTTAAAAATATTTACCAAGAATCACGAAATTTTTCTAATTTTTTTTCACGTAAAACTACCCGTCGAACAACACCTAGACAATGGGGAAGATATTGAGATGTTAGTACTGAACTTGGCTTCGAATCATTTGTTCGGACGATTCCATGGATGGCTGCATAATCGATAAAAGTTCTTGATGATGAGAACTGTTTTAAATCATCTATATCAATATCGGGTGCCAACTAGAATAACAAATTTTAGCTTCTCATTATTAATGGATCAATATAAATCTATGATTTCTAATAACACTAGTTTCTTGTGTTATTTTTTAATTGTAACGATAAAATTTTAAAATTCATATCAAAATGTATAGAAAATGGTTTTTTTTATCGTAAAAATGGTAACTCAACCCAGCAGTTCATTACAATCTATTATAGTTTGTAATCGATAAAAATATTCTTGCGCGAATGAATCGACTTTTGCTTCACACCAATGACGTTAATGAAAAAAGTCACAGTTAACATGTCTAGCACTCAATCAGTACAGTATGTTCTTGCTTGCATTTTTTCATGATACGCCAGCTGAGGAAAAATCTTATCATGTGCGATGTCATCGTAGAGATACTCTATTAGCACGAGAAAATGCCATGAAGGACTTCTATGTAGATATCATCCGTCAAGGACACGGTAATACTAATTATTATTATTTTCAATACCACATTCCATATCGAACTTTTCACGTACATTATTCAAGACACTGGCCGAAAGAATAAAAATAAATATGTGTACGAAATTTATATGCTATTGAATGTAATAAAACGCTCTATTTCACTTTTATGGTAAAAGAATTCTGAATATGAAGAAGAATATTTTGGAGTTTTAGAAAAGTATATGTGTACCTCTAAAACAGCCAAGAATTGATCATTTGATCTCCACCATCGATAAAATCCATACGATATACCAATTTCACCGACTAGCCAAAGCCAAGTCCAATCAATCATCGCCTGCAATATACACAGAGAATGGAAATTGTGTTGTTGATTTTGAATTAAGAAAACAATACGATTATGTTGCTTGATTTTTATTCAAAACAGATAACAAAAACAAAACTTAACAAGAAGAAAACATATCAATTTTTATTCTTTTTGCGTTTTAATTGTTGCTGTTGAAGAAACTCTTTGAGCTTAGTATCGCGTATTTGCGTTTTACGCGCCAGTCGTTTACCAATTTTTCCCTTTTTCTTATCGGATTGAATAATTAATTCTTTGGGTTTGACAAAATTGAAATTATTTCGTTTATCTTCTTGTTTCCGAATAAAACCTTTTCGATCGATTTCACTTAATACTGAATTATCTAAAGTGATCATATCTGGTTGAATCTAAATGAAGAAATATGACAATAAGAAAAACAATATTGTTCGAAATTTATTTCACATACTTTATCAAGTAATTGTTTAACTTCTGCATGTTTTCGTTGTTTTTTCGTTTGATATGGATTTGCTTCTAGTGCATCGAAATTTGGTTCACCGGCACCAGGTACAAGTAATGAAACAAATCCTCGTTCGTGTCCAACACCTAACACATCTTCATATGGACAAAATGCTAATGACGATGCTGAAGCACCATTTGAACATTGATGAAGAAGATAACGTGGTAATTCATTTGATGCAGATTCATTATCACATATATCGTTGTAAATCTATACAAAAAGAATGTGTTAATCTAAACTAATGTTATAATTAATTGATTTTCATAGAAAAAAATTTCATTATATATTTAAATTTATCGTTTGATAATTTAAATACGATTTGACATGATTATTATTTGTCATAGAAGTAGATTACTTAAAAGAAAATGATTCGATCATTTGGCAAGAGTGAAAAACAAATTTACCATAATTGAAAATAAAGAAAAAATTCATTTTAATAACGATCTGAAGCTAACCAACGTAGAATTTAGCAGATTAAATATAGCGATCCATCAAGCACTATTCTTCGATGAAAAACCAATGAGCATTTGACTTGCATAAGATTACTATCAAGTTGAGCTGAGAAATTTAAAACATGGCTTTTACTCAATAGACTAGTAGAAATTGAAGTGAAGAGGTTAAAACTTTCAAATCTCTCGTTTCTCAAACATCAATATTCGATCACAAAATCTCGCTATACTTGGAAATGTATAGTTATAGAAAATACAGGCTAATTACCTCGACTACATCCCTGTAACTTGCTGCTAAAAGATTCTTTTGACTAAACGACAATGACGATGCACCATTTGATGCTGTACGATATTCATGTAAACATTTGTAAGTTCTTAAATCCCAAATTTTCAATTTAGCATCCACACCACTTGTTGCCATATAACTAAAAATGAATATTTATCAAACGAGAAAATATGGTATTGAACGTTTTTCTTACCTTCCAGTTCGATCGATTGCTATTGATCGAAGTGTTGATTTGTGTGCAAGCATTTTGACTAATGGTTCACGTTGATTCGGTGACCAAAATGTTAAAACACCGCCAGCGTGACCAAGACCAATAAGTGCATTGGAAGGATTTTGACACATTATCGATGTACCACATTTACCATTTCCATTTGCTACTCTTGTATTATAGGAAGCAACTTTCTTTCCAATGGATACATCTATATATGATAAATATCCTGCTTCATTCTAGAAAAATTGTATTTAAACAATGATAAATTTCAAAATAATGTTTTTATTTACTGTAGCAGCAAGTAAGAAATGATATGGGAGAAATTCTAGATGCAATGAACGATCAAGCACTTTAAGACAATGTACTTCAACACCTTGATTATCATAGATATACGTCCATTGCCGTTGTGCAACAGCATACATTGTTTCAATGTGTAACCACCTTCAAAAAAATAGATCATAAGAAGAAAGTATTTCTGTTTAAATTACTTACTTGACATCATTCACTTGTTCCATGACATTCATTTCACAATGTAATTTTTTTGTTTGCCAATCAAATGCAGCTACATGACCTTTTCGTCCACCTAATAATAAATGTCTGAAAGAAAAAAGCCAAAAACATAATTTATATATGAATAGTTTATTGTATATCAAATACTGACCGTCCATTTCTAGTATAATCGATTTTGTAAGGTCCATATAATGGAAGTTCAAGATCAAAACGTTTTTGAGCACTAAATATATCAACTGATGATTTAATATCGGCTTGGGTTAAATCAACTGTTCGTTGCTCTTCTTCATCAACTTTATCAGAAGTAATATAACTATGAATAGAATAAAAAATAAAATCCACTAGTAAATGTCGTTTTGTGTTTTATAATTTTACCCTTCTTCCTCAACATGTAAAATTTCAGCACGTGTTGTTTGTCGAGCAGCAAATTTCGCTTTACGTTCTTTTACATAAAGCAACTTTTTAGTACGACGTGTAGTCATTCTGAGAAACAACAAACAACTTTTTCTGAAACCGAAAAGATTTATAATATTTGCCAGTAAGTTGAAATCGCAGGAACATACATATTCTGAATGAATCATTGAACATGAAAGTAGAACCAAGCAATCAAATTTTAGTTGTAGATGGCGCACCTATCTAGTAGGAGAAAAACCTGTCTTGGATATTCATCAAATATGCTCAAATCACTGCAAAGCATCCATAAGTTTCTATTCTATCATTGCTTTTCTTCCAACACGTACTAGATCCAAATATAGTGTTCAAATGTATATAACTAATATATTTGTGTACATTTATTTCTTAACAACTTTCTAAAACAAAAAAGGAGATGACGACAAGCTCCGAGATAGTATATTATTTGCCTAGGTGGCGATAAATAAACGATAGAAATTGTTAGTCCAATCGTTATCAACATTAAAATAAAACATCAGATGATATCTCCAGTGTTTTATCTTGACTAAAACCACGTTAAAAATTTTCACTACAGGCACCACTAAATTTTGTTTCGAATAATTCTTTCGCATGTTCAAATGCCGTATTTTAATTCTACACGAAGAATAAATTGAAATAATACTCTCAAATCATGTTACAGCAGAAATCAAAAATTTTAAAATAAGAAACATTGTTTTCACTGAAATATCTTGTCATATGTTTTTGATTTCAGAGTTGTTAAATGAAATCTATCGTCTTCTATTTCATCCTAATCGTTAGCAATTTTCATTCATATGTATTGCCCTGTATGCAAGCTTGGGATGGTGGCGGTACTGGTGCTTGGTATCGTGTTGATACATCATGTTTATATTCGTTTTCATCAACGACACTGATACAGTGCTTGCCAATGATTATCATACCCACTAATGAAACATTGATCACTGATGGTTTTTTCTTAAGTCTTGGCGTTTTCAATCGTTTGAATGGTGCTGGTCTAGATATTGGTCTGACGTACGTTCCTCAAACAGATAAATGGTGGTCTTACGCTAATGATGCTCTAGGTTGGAAATCTGGGAATGTCTCAATCAGTTCTTCAACGAATCGATGCATCAACATATCTTTGTCAATATCTAATGACTACGTAAAATATCTCATTCGAACAAGCAACGGTTCGATCATATTGGGTCAAGATTTATATACAGCATCACAACTTGATCCACAATTGAATTTAACTGTTAACAGTTCCAATTTTGGTTTTTATCGTTTTGATAGTATTGCTCAAACAAAAGAAACATTGAAAAGCGGTTCATCCATGATTCATGCACAATTGGTCGAATGGCTTCTGGAACTTGAATCTCACGTTTTTGTTCCAGCTAGAGGTGACTTTATGGCTTCGAGCATTCGAGGTTATCCTCCAGGGCCATGCTGTACAAGTGATGAGATCAACACGATACATACATACAATGAAACCAAGTGGAATCAAGCTGATATTTCAATAGTTTATCACTGAATGTATTCTTTTCGTTTTAAAGATGAAATTTCAAAGAACAATAAGAACTTGATCATATTCTTCGACGATTCTTGATTAAATTGAGGAGGAGGAGGACGAGGCGGAGGATGACAGAGTTACTAAATCTATTTTCAAAAGAATCCATTCACATTTGCTTCAATCCTTATCTTACAGTTATCATACTCAACTAACTATATATTTTGTAACATGTTCTTTTGTTAATCACACTGCAGTCCTTTGCAACAAGAAAAGCAACAAAATCACACACATTCTTTACTACTCTCGCTTACGTTATCTTTCAGTCCTTTGGGTGATACCAGTTGGGTGACACCGCCAACCTCAACAACGAAATAACAAGGTAACGCGACGTTAGCGTCGCCAATCCTCTACTGAAAGAATTTAGTCGTGTAGAACGTAGCTATTCAAAACTATCTAGCTAAGAGACTTCACATTTTATAGCGTCGAAATGATTTTCATGGAAAAAACGATTGATAACTGAGCATAAATCTCATGTGTTTCATTACGATGAAACTGTGATCACACTGCGACCCGTAATTACGAAAAATTAAGATGTAGTTACGCGTAACTGCGGCACAGTTGATAAAAAAAGAGGCGACATGGGATAGAAAACTTGCTTGATAGTATCACCAAGAAAACGGCATTCAGTACTACTTACTAATACTACATGCCAACATTGAAGTTAAGTGCATCCGATCTGCTACAGCTCGAGCTATGCTCCGAAAACTTTCTATCAGCTTGATAACGGAGTGAAGAAAAAGACCCGTTCAAGATATCTATGATCGAAATATTCCATTTTAGTAAAGTAACAACTCAAATTGGTCTATGGACTAGATATTTAACATGAATCTGCACGAGTATATCAGAGATCAAATCAAAATGGCTTTTTCTAACTCAATTTCGGTTACCTTTGTCCTGATTTTTGCTGAAACTGATGTGGGTTCATTTTATTTCCGTGCATTTTCGGTCTCTAATGCATATATGCATTGCCGGGTACAGATTCGCAGATATAAAAAACGAACACTTACATGTTTTGAATCAAACCCACTCGCAATCAGGAAAAACTAAACTTATTAAGATATATGCGACAAATATAAATTTCAAATATTTCACACGATTTGAGCTATTATTTCACGATCTGTCTTCGGCACACTGCATGTTTGATTGAAAGTCGCGCTTCATTCTATAATTATTAGATGAAAACAAAGAGAATTTCCAAGAAACCCGAAAACAACAGGTGTGAGACTATTTTAACTTAGTTTCATCTACGTATGCGATAAATTCCTCACAATTTAGAGAAGAATAAGGCAAGATTCCCGAGTACTTATATACAGTTTGCGTACGTTCCTAGATGCGCTAATCTAGAATTCTAGCGGTTAAGTTTGAGAAAATTTTTCGTACTACAATAAAAGTTGACATATCAAGAATAAACTGAAGACTTTGAAAAAGTCTTCAACGTCTTAGCGCAGGTGAGCGGCTAGTCGTTGCCAAATTGAGAACCAATTTCACCACAAGATGTCCAGTTTATTCGTAATAAGATCTCAAATAAACATTTGATGCATCTACCACTATAAACATCATCGAATGGTATCCGTAACAAATTTCCTGACAAAGAATTCTTATCACGAAAATGCGACGATCTAAGCAGCTCCTACACTGAAAAAAAAATAGCACCACACGGAACCAAGAAAGTTTCGAATTTTCTTACTGAACTTTAAAGTGGTTTCGCAGGCACTACGAAACTTAAAAAGGGTTTCGAGATTTGAAACGAATTCTGAACCTTTTTTAGGTTTCGTAGGTTTTCCACAAAGCCTTCGTAAAAGTTTCCTGGACTCTTGATACGAATTTTGAGACTATCTTGGGCTTTTACGAAACCTTTTCGAGGGTTTAGAATTCGTTTCAAAAATGGTTCCGTATGGTGCTATTTTTTTCCCAGTGTAGTGCATTATAAACTTGCCTGATCTATGAAAGATCATTAAAAGTATAATATTCAATCCAGCGAAAGCCTTTATCTTATTTGAATCAACTTTATTTATTTGTTTAGGATCATAACCACTAATAACGTCGTTGTGCTACTCCTAAATGCTGTCGAAATACCTGTCACTCGTCAGTTGCTAGTCACTCAGTTTTACTTTTTCAAAAACTCATGTGTTCATTCTGTGCAACCCTCTATGTTTATTAAAACGATGGCAAAATGTTTTTGAAAAACTACACCTGAAATCTAGTAATAAATCCGCCCCAAAACCTTTTGGTCAAACCTTATATAAAATCGTTTTTTCCTAAAAATGACACTCTTTCACTAAAAAAAATAAAAAGCGAAGCTTCAAAAACCTGACCTCCGACTCGAGTTCTTCGACCACGAAAACCTTTCGTCAAACGTTATGAAAAAATACTTTCTTAAAAAAACTATTTTTTTCATAAAAAAAATTGAGGATTAAACATTTCTGAAACTCTGACACCGGATTCGAGTTCCTCGATCTCAAAAACCTTTGATCAACCCTTATAAGAAACTTTTCTTTTTTCTAAAAAGTCTTTCTCTCTTCTAAAAAAGCAAAAAGCAAAACTTCAAAAAAACTAACATAGGATTCGGATTCTCTGACCCCAGAAACTGCCAGAGAAAGGTTTTAGCGCATTTTGATGAAATAGGGCAAAAAAATATTTTTTTGTTCAGTGCGAACGAGCGAACGCATTTAACTGGTTTTTCGTAATACCCTCTCCTTCGGTAGAGAGAATAATTTGTTTTTTTTTACTGTATTTTTCCAAGTTCTTTTTTCTTATCAGCGACATGTAAAGCGTTGAAACTAGACGTATGCTATACTAAGTTGAGGCTTTATTTAGTTAAGATATCTATTGATGGAGCAGTATGTTTCGAGAAAGCTCCATATTCCTGGTTTAAAACGAAGAATTTCAGCACACAATGAAGAATCTTATTAAAATACCAGTCTTTTCGCGAAATGTTCTTATCGTACCTCATCACATGTTTAGTATAGTGCTGTGCTGTCGAAGTTCTCGGCTTCTGTTTTCGCCTATTCGACCATAGCAACTTGTTTTACATTACACAATTCGATATTTTAAATCGTTTATCGATATATATTTAAATTAAACGAGTATGGTTTAAAATAATAGTTTTGAGTGCGCCCAGGTGAACTAATCCAATACAGAATCCGATTGGATCTTACAAGATTCGACGAGTCGACGAAATCGGATAGGGTTTCGGGTTGAGGAACTACAAACGGGTCAGGCGTGAAATTCATATTTTATTGCTCGCATACTGCTTTGCATCTGGAGCCAACACTAGAGGTCAGTTAGAGCCCTGATATGGGTTCCGCCGGTTCCGAGAGTAATACATGATCGGATTATAATACTAGAGATCCGAGTGCCGGCCCACAGCCTGGATCCTATAGGAATTCATCGGTTCTATAGAAATTTACATAAAATTCAATCGGAATACTGTCGAATCTGATTGTCGAAATGGTTCCCTTGGACATCGAAAAAAAGCACACAAAGCATAAATCTTGCGTCGACTCGCTTTGCGGTATATGCTATTACAAAAATATACAGTTGCTAAGTACAACATGAAAACCACTAGCAGAAACTGAAGCGTTTGTGTGAGCATTATATCCAATACTAGAGATATGATTACTTATCCGGATACACTCGCGTAGAAACATGTTAAAACAAACCATTCGTAATCAGTGCAAAATAATATGAGTATTATTTGATAGTGAAAATTTTAGATCAATATTATGTTCTGTGCCTGGTTGATTATCGTTTTTATCAGTCATTTTTAGAATGAATTGATGAATATAAAAATTTTCTCAAGAGCCCTACATACTATAAGATAAATATTTCAGCGAAACATATACGATTTCGAGTCCTACTTTGAAAATAAGAATACTTGTTAAAACATGTTCTAATGTAAAACGTTTCGATAAATCCATGGTAAAATACCACCTTAAGCTTTTATAGCGATGCCAACAAAACAACCTACCATGAAGATTCACTATTTCATACAATTTACAAAACTTTAAACTAAAGATCGGCAGTTTTGGTAGAATAAAATACTCGTTTATCTAAATGTATGTCGATGATAGCTCTGCAGTATCAAATGCAGTATGCCAGGTTTTACTGAATACAAATAAAACCGATAACATCCGAGTAGGTGCTTAGATGAAGAGGCTACGAAACACATAGAATACAGGCTTAACCGTCCCCACTGTTAAAGATACTTCTTTTCTATCGACCTATTCATAAAACGATACAATACATAACATACGTTTTTCCTCCTTTCAGCCATAGATAATATTACACCGAATAATCTGAATTGCTGTTTTATTTTTTTCTCATCAAATTGTTTATTAAATTCTATAATATTTATCTGCTCATTGTCTATAAAAATAGGAAGCAATATGATTTTCTTGCTGACTGTGAATAAAATTGATCTCTAGGGGGAGATTTCATTTTTTTCTTCATTTTTTCTAGTCATGACTGAGACTTTGATTGGCATACCTGTAGCGAGTGTTCCAAACACCAATACTTCAAACGGCATTGGAACCGAAGACGAGGAGACTCTGAAATACATCAGTTCAGGTCGTTCCTATGCACGAAACGGTAATTATTCCGATGCTATAACTAATCTCAAACATGCCACACATTTACAACCATCAAATAGTGAAGCATTCTATTATCTTGGATTGGTATACTTAGAAAAGCGGCAGTATGGAGATGCTATCGAAGCTCTGAAGGCAGCAATCCAGAATAGTAATACTGACAACAAAGAAAATACTAATCATTATTACTTTAAATATGCATTTGCATGTCAAAATGGTGATCAACTAGAAGAAGCTGTAAAATATTACACCAAATTCATTGAGAATACGACTGAAGAAAATCAATATCCAGGCTTATTGAATCGCGGTATCTGTAATGATAAATTAGAACGATATCTTGAAGCATTGTCAGATTTTGATAATGCTCTTAAAAGCACAAATGAACAAGTCAAACCTTATTGTTTAAGTTGTCGTGCTCGTGTGAAGGCTAAAATGGATGATCAAAAAGGAGCTCTAAAAGACTATGATGAAGCAGTAAGCCATACAGCTGCATTTATTGAGCAAATCAAACCACCGAAAAAAATGAATGATACTTCAATCCCTAAATCTTGGACATTGACAATGGATCGTTATACTCCAGTTGGAATTCTATTAAATGGTATAAAAGAAGATGAGAGTGGTAACAGCATTAGTGCCATGCAGAGCTTCAATAAGCTTTTAGATGAGCCAGTATTATTTCAACAGCAAATTGAAGATCTTCAAAACCAAGCAGATACAGTATCTGATCCAGTGATACTTCAAACTATTATACTTAATATAAATCTTGCAAAAATTGCCATTCTAACAGTAGATAAACACAAACAAGCAATGAAAAAGTTCTCAGCTAATGCAAATTTGAAAATCTACTATTGTAGCATCTATTTCAAGCTTGAAGAAATCTTCACAGCTTGTAAAACTGTTGCAAGCAAGCTGGTCACACCAACTGGCGGAAAACTTGCAGGATACGCTGAAGCTGTGACACTAGTTGGGCAAGCTATTTCTATTTTACCATGTGTAGGAGAACCGCTCAGTATCATCGCACAACCAATCGCTACGCTTCTTGAACGCGTTGATTATAAGCAACAGAAGAATACTATGAGCAGAATAGCTAATCTGGGAAGTACACAAGAGCTATGGGATACATCTCAACGTGTTGCAGAAGCGTTGACCGAAATTTATGAACCATTGCTTTTACAGTTGATTCCTCTAGAAACAGAACTACAGCCTGTCGACCAAGCGCCTCCAGCGAAATGGTCTGACTGTTTTACTAAGCCGAACTGGTGGGTTTCGAAAAAGCCAGCTGTACATGTACTTAAAGAAGAAGCATATATCAAGCAAGCGAGAGAGATTGGTGAGTATGCTGTAGCACTCGTGTTAGAATCATTGCTACAGCTAGACAGTGTTGACGAAGTGAAAAAGCAAATGGATCAGAACTTGATCAATGATGAAAATAGACGTCAGAACTCAAATTGGATAAAAGTTGAACTCAAGCAGATGGATGAAAATTCGACTGATGAGGCACCGAAACAAAAGTATCCGATATCGACTGATGAGGAACAGGAACCATTGTTCCAAAAGTTGATCGATGCTGTTTGTATACCTAAAGAACAAAGTGAAAGACAGAACAAAAATGTTAAATCTCTTTTTAGAGATCGAAAAATCTTAATTAAAACTCAGAATAAAGAATGGACACTGGATGGCTTCTATCATGAGCCTGGAATTACTACTAAAGATAAAGAAGTTTATGTTCGACCTGGATCAAAATCTGACGTTTACCCAAATCGTAATGGAACAAAAGAAGAAGCAGAACGTCTACAATATATATTACAAAAATGACATAAGTGACTACAGTAGCTTCTTCGAAGAACAACTGTTGTACGCTTTATTTTCCTATTTGAAAAACTTTCATGAGATGCTCCTTTCAAGTTCGTTTCACTTAGCAACTATTCGAACAGCTTGCCCTCTTTTGAATCTTTTCATTTTGATAAATTATGCTTGACTTATGCTTTCAGATGACGACTTCTACTTATAGACCATACTCGAGTTTCACAGATCCATACTTGAAAATTTATTTTCAAGATGAACAACGATTGAAACAACTACGAAATTTCGGTTTGGTGAGCATGTATACAATGGTATTAATGGTCATCTAAACCGCCTGTTTTTCTTTTAAGATTACTAAGGACAATGAAGTTTATCCAGAAACAGTTTATCAAGAAAATATTGCCATAGCTGAAAGAAGAGAAAATGCTGCAGCATTGAAATCTCAATATATGGCTCGAGAGTGAGTTTGGTGATTGTATACATCGCTTACTTTAGTTATAGGCTTTCTGGTGATTGTTTATAGTGAATTGTACCAACAACATATAAAACTTCATAAAAAGTGGAGCGAACAGGAAAAGCAACAAAAACAACGACGGATTCAAAGCGCAAAAGTAATTATTGAAGTGCTCTAAATTGTAATCGATAATTTATCACTGATTACTATTCATTCTTCAGGAGGCAAGAGAGAGTCGTGTAACTTCAGGCATACGCCTTCCTGATTTCACTAGATGGACTAGAAAAGTGAGTTCCTATTTTTATCGACCTCTGACGCTCCGATTTTACATTTTTTTCTGAAAGTAGGATTTTATTAAGAATGGTTTTGAATATTATCCTGATAATTGTCGTCCGCAGACTGCAACAATGACAGAATGGCATAGATTAGGAAGAAAAGATTCGAAAACTGGATCAAGCATTTTTGATAGAAATCCTTATCTTGATTGGCCACCTCAGCGTTCGAAAAAAACAAATAAAACACGGTAGATTATCTTGAATAATTCGTATTAGATTTTATCCTCGATTAGTAATGTCAGTGTGTTGCAGTTTAATACAGTGGTGCTGTAAGAATTCTCTTTCCTTCATTGGTCAGTTCTCAATTTAATTGCTACTATTTGTCCTTCATTCAATGTTTTTGATGAAGAGAATACTTTGTACGAAAGCATAAATTATTATATATACTGCTCATTTTTACTGAGTCGGAACTCTTTCTTCATAGACCAATTATTAGTCACAATGTTAATTTCACATGAAATTTACTCACGGGCTACGTTTTATGATAATTGTGTCGAATATCATCTTTCTAGTCGATGCTGTGAATAAATTCAATTTTAATTTGTCGTTTTTCTCTGCTATATTTTAGGGCGATTGGAACATCTCCATTTCCACTATCAGCATCAACAAAAAGTTCTCAAACGCAATCGTTATGTGATATGCAGTCTCCTTCATCTGACAATAACGAGATTTTTCCCATCTTCAACCATTCAATACCATTGGATCTTTTGGAGAATAAATTTTAAGGCAGCCATCGTGCGAAGTATTTTAGTGACAATATTATCGAAAACGGAAAGATTCATTTGCAGAATGCACTAAATAATATGATTTTATTGTTTACATAATAAATATACCGAATTTTTCATGGTCTCTTGACATTATGGTTTGTGAAACTTGAGAGGCTGGAGTCCTCAGATGTATAGCATAGGATATCTTTTAATATGTCTTTCTTTAAATGTTTATTCTTTCCCATGAAAACTTACATATTCATCTAGTGGTACTAAATGGGGAATATAGAATTGTATTTCATTGATTTTTACACATTCTTCTCACTTTATGACAACAAAATCAACTCTTCCTTGAATTATATATACTTCATTCATATTAGAATAGTGATTTAGCTGTCAATTCTTTTATCAATTGTTTTCAATAGCTATTCGATGAAAATTTTCATTGTAATTTTATCAGGGTCAATATTGTGTTTTCAAGTGTAATAAAAAAATAAACTATGGAATACAATAGCAACTACTAGCTATAATCTCCAAGGCGATATTCACGTTGACTTCTGGTAATGTATAATTTTAAATATTTTAAAAATTATATTACCTGTAGCATAACGGACTAAGATTTTATTCCATATCGACAAAATCAATGTTAGCACTCTACGTCGAATAAATTCTACAATAAAGTTTGGCTTTTGTAGACCTTACAGGAGTTCAGAAATAATTGAACGATATAAAATTGACGATAGAGACGACTAAATTCCGCACCAATATGAGTTGAGGTCTCCGTATCCAAAAACATTTTTTACGTTTCTCATCAACTGAAAAGCCTTTGCTGCTTTCTGTCGATTTTCATATGAACGATAAAAAAAGAAAAACTTGAACGCGCACACAAGTTGTTTTGGATACTATAAGAAAACCTTTTTCATTGGGCAATGTTGAATTTATATTATTCTTAACAACAACTAGAACAGTTTATTATTGTTTCTGTCAACTACCTTCATAAATTTGATGAGAAATTCTAATAGAGTTTGAAGAGTAAAATAAATAAATATTGATATAGATTTCTTTCAAGTGAAAAACAAAACAATAATCGTTAGCTACGGCACATTAACATATGTAATTAGTTTTACGTAGCATGCAAATTATCTGTTGAGTTTGTATGTATGTTGGCTACTGGAACTTTTGCGTGTATGTATGGAAGCAAATCTTATATAAGCGGTATTGTTACATCATACATACAGTGGAATATTGGCCTAGAGAGAAGAATAATCAAGCGTCAAAATGCAGAATATGTTGTTGTTATTCTCAACCTCAAACAAATTGAAAGTGTAGCACATGATGCTGTTGTCTATGGAAGTAAAAATCTCTAACAAAGTAGTTTTTTTTGCATTAGAATAAGTTTTCTTCTCATGAACTAAGGAAAGTATAATCAGTCGCAGTTCACATTTGTTTTCATAGGGCTCTAAGCTGTTCAAATAAACTTTCTTAATGGAGAATATATAGTACGGATTAGCAGACGTTGGATACTTCAATTCTCTCTCATTTGTTCAGTATAGTTGCCTTCTGTTTTAAGAAAATCATCTGCATAAGTCAGAATATGGTGAAATTGATTGTGGCATTTTTTACTATGCGCCCGGTGAAGTAAGTCGAACTCTAATTTATTTACATCTTGCATGCTAAAACTGATTCGATAGTTTGAACCACGTTGAGTAGACAAATAAATGTTGGTTAAGCTCTTCTTTTCATCTACAATATAACATTATATATTGTTGATATCAACCTGAGATTCGACGTGTGACTAAAATACTTATTCTATTGAACCGAATAAATGTGGTACGCTTAATCATTAAGGAATACAACCAAACATTTAATATCGTCGAGTAGTGATGAAAGTGACTCATAATTAAAGGTTTCTTTTAAACAATTAACTGATTGATCAACACGATTTTTTTTCTCATAAAAAAATCAATGCGCTCGTTGCTTAGCTATTGGTGTGAACGATTGAGAATTCAACAAGATAGAGTTTATTTTATTTTTATTTTCTTAATCATTCAGTTCTGATCAATATCATTGTTTCTTTGGAAACCAAGACTGATGACCATATTTCCGTAACCATTTGAGTTCTTCTCGAACTTTAATTTTCCCATGCCACGGGTTGTTGCTTAAATCATGACCTTCTTTTGGAAATAGTAAGAGTTTTACTGGTATTCCCAAAGTATGCAGGGCACGTTCCAAAATATAGCTCTGATCGGCATCAACTCGTACATCACCTTCGCCCGTGATGATATGTGTAGGTGTACGAACATGATCTAACTGATAAATAGCCGACTGATTTTGGTACAAGTGTGGCACAACCCATGGGAATCCACCGAATAAATGAGTGAATATCAATGGTAGATCCATTGTACCCCACGCAGAAACATGTTCAAGAGATCCAGCACCAGAGAGAGCAGCATTAAAACGTGTGGTCTGTGCAATTAGCCAGTTGGTCATGAAGCCACCATAACTGTAACCTCCAACAGCCAATCTGTTGGGATCAACTATCCCATCCATAACTAGACGATCGACTGCAGCAAGAATATCTCTACCGGGCCGAGATAAAGGTTGCCGACGAATTTGATCAACAAATTGATCGCCATATCCTGTTGATCCACAATAGTTCGGCTCTAAAACTAGCCAATCATTTGATGCTGCTAACGGAGCCCAATTGTACCAGTTTGCTTCGAATGCATTGAGACTTGCATCGTATGGACCCCCATGAATGAGAATGAGTAGAGGTAAGTTTTTCGCTTCAAATTTATGTGGTGGATAATGTAAGATTCCTTCGATTATAGCATTGTCTTCATCATTTTTCCAGTTATACACTTTTGCTCGTGGCATTTCTCGATCACTAAACAATTGATTTTCATTAGTGATTGGGTATGCTGATTGAAGTTCATTAATATCATTTGTTAAGTAAACTTCTTTTGGTCGTTCAAATGATGAATAAACAAATGCCACGGAACGAGTTGTTTTGGAAGATAATTTTATTTGTTCGTATGTTCCAGTCCACCCAGTGATGTAGTTTGATTGCTCCGTGGGCGATTGTTGTCTATAAATTTGTACTTCCGTTCCTACTTGACCACGAATAAGTAGGCTACCATCAAAATCTATTGCATGTCCTACTATGTTACCAATAAAATCTTTAGCTAAATGTTCAATGGATCCATTTACTAGATCGAATGAAAACAGACGACGTTGTGTATCATTGAATCCTGTATCAATTGGTGTACGAGTATACTGTTGGTATAGTACATGTTTTCCATCATTTGATAATTGTAAACGTTGTTCAAAGGCTTGATTATTTGTCAATCTTGACAATTTGAATGGTTCTTCTAGATCAATAGAATAAATCTCAAAATCAGCAAGATCTTCAACAAGTGGTGAATTAGACGTTAATATAAGTTTGCGTTCCGATGAAGTAAACAATAATTCTCCAATCAGAAAATCAACATTCTTAATAGTATTTATTTTTGTCGACAATCTTGGATCATTGTCATCGATATCAAGCCGAAGAATCGTACTAGTCAAACTCTTTACCCGTTGGCGATACTCAATGACATCATTCCATTCGTGTTCATGCTCAGGCTTTTCTTTTTCTTCATCCATCAATGGTGGTTTAGTTATGACGAAGTAAAGTGATGAATCATTTTCTGACCAAGTTACAAATGAAGCAGTTTCTGTTCCAATTGCAATAGGAACTAACTCATCAGATAGAACAGAATAGAAATAGATGTATTGTTGTGATTTCTGATCGCTTGCAGTTGATCGTCGATAATCATGAGCACCAAGATTGATATGTGTTGCTAAATTTTCAGTTTTTGTTAATGCAATCCAGTTCCCACTAGGCGACCATTTTGGATTTAAAAATCCACCAAGATTTTTCGTGATCACTGTTTTCTTTTGTGTTTGAATATCATATAACCATAACTTACTTTCATAAGAATTTGAATCCCATGCTGCACGATACGTTTCAAATAGTAAATATTGACCATTTGGCGAAAAACTTATTGTTGGAAACTCGGTGTAATCGAAAAATTCGTCAAATGTTAGATTGGATCTAGTTTCTATCGCTCCACAAAATAGCAGGATCATAATAAAGGTCAAGTATTTTCCCAATTGTATCATTCTTTATAATCCGAAATTGAAAGCTCGATAGAATTACTTCACTTTAAATAAAACAGAGACTTACATTAAAATATTGATTACTGCCAGTACTCTCGCAGTATTTCGACTTACTTGGTTTGAAGTGAATATAATTTTATGAAAGTGTTTATTTTCATAGATATCTTATTAAATGATGTAAAACCATTTGTTGAACTTTAAAATGGCTCAAAGGAATAAAAGGACATACCATCACTGTCATATTTATTTATGCTGTAGGTAAATAATTCTCCATAATCCGCAAGCAAGACCAGTTATATCGTTTTCTATGATCTAAATGTAAATATTCGAAAGCTTTTTTAGTAAAAGATTATGTTGTTATTTTTAAATCCAATATGTGTTATCATGACTAGAAAAATCTCATTTTTATGTTATGTACATACTGATTATCTACACCTGTCATCGGCAGATAGATACTTTCCTTCTTTGTATGCCATCTACTGGCATTCGCATCTTTACTCTAAGGTTACTTTGCTTGAAACAAATACTTTACGAAAATGATGAAACTAAAAATGCCTCTCTAACTTTTGTTAGATGAAAAGAAATACGTGATGTGCAAACTAGTCCATCTTCTTTGATACTCGTTATTGAAATTACAATAAAATTACAATTAATCAATTATTTTATTTTCATTGCAAGACAACAAACATCAGACAATAGCGCGCACACACAAGATTAAGAATGATAGATGGCTTTAATTTTCGAAAAAATTTAGACAGAAAATGAAGATACAACAATAAGAAAAAAGATTTTGGATGACACCAATAGTGGCTGCTCTTTGTCTGTAATCATTGAGGAAAACAAAATCACGAAAAAAAAAAGAAAAGCAGGATATTCAACTTTGATGGAAAGATGTTGATGCTTCCGAAATTGATACGCCAGTAGGAGAATTGAATTGCAGCCATCGTGTCTTTTGATCATTAAAGCCAAGCCCCAATGAATAATTTCCTTTCATAGTAAATAATTGGAGAAAATGAGGTTTACAATAAATCTGTCCATCGTTTGCTGTATAATTACCAAGTCTAGAAGAAAAAAATCACGAATTAAAAAATGATATTCATGTAAACAAATGTTTTTCGCATTCAAAAAATTCCCAACAACATGCGCTTCAGTCACACAGCAACAGGGGCAAAGAGAAGTTAAAAGCCTACGATTAATGATTGATCAATTGAACTTTTTTATTTTTTCTAAAATAATATTAAAAATGTAGTTTATTCTATTGAATTACTTACTTTAGTATAGATTTACAATGCATACATTTAAAGCATGATTTGTGATACACTTTTTTATCAGCTTCAATCTATCAATAATTATTTATTGTTTAGAAAAGTGAAATCAAAAGCAAATGTTAATGTTACTTTTTCCATAGCATAAACTGTTTTATTACATCCAAAACATTTTGTCGGATCAACATTTGAGTCGCCGTTAAACTGTTTAGGTGCAGGTGTACTCTGAAAGAAATGCAAAATAAAAATAAAAATCTAGGTTTTATCCCACAGGCTAGTTCTTAGTTCTGTTCTTTAAGCAGAGCTGGGCGAAATACTCGTACTCGTACTCGAAGTCCTATACCAACATTAATTATATCAAAATGATGCTTGATAAAATCATAATGTAGATTTTTTCAAGAAAGAACAGTTGATTTCTTTCTTTCCTTTTATATTTATATATATATACGCATTCTGAATGAATCATTCAGATAAATATTAATCCTTCTTTATATGAACTGGGTCTGAAATACTTATCAGTGTCGGCTACATCAGCACCTATTGAAAGAATATTTTCTCAAAGTGGATTTGTAATGCGCCCACATTGCGCATCGTTAACTTCAAAAAATGTATGTTTGATTACATTTCTCAAATGTAATCAAGTTTTGTTGTAGTTTGATTTTTTTGAAACTTGATAATAAACGTAATTTAAAAATATTGATTCATGACTAAAACTATTTCTTGATCTCACAATTGATACGTAATCTCTAACACTGCCAATTAAATTTTCTCTATCAAGTTCGCGACAAACACATTCTCATATCATGTACTCGTACTCGAAGGGTTGGTACTCGTACTAGTACTAGTACTCAAGAAAGTCCGTATTTGTCCAGCTGTCTCTAAGTGACATCAACAGGAAGGATGTAACATTTACGAAATAACAAGATTTACGCAGTCCTGGACAAAACAGCTGTCGCACGTGAATTGCTATCAGTATGACATATAAAAATGAATATATGCGTACGATCGTAAGCCTTGATCGCAAGCATCAACACGTTCTTCATGGATTGATTCACTCTATTAGTATAAATGCTGTCATCCATCTTCTCGTTTTGGTTCCTAGTAAAATAGAATGTTTCCATGATTACTTCGGTTGTGAGATGAAAAATATTTGCTATTCAATTTCAGAAATCGAACAAAAGTTAGTCTTACATCTACCATTTTAACAACGAAACTGTTCACCGAGTGTAATCAGCTTTGATAATAGACAAAAAGAAAAAAGATGCTAATTATTTTTCGACTGGCAGAAATATATTTCAAGTATATTTTCTATGAATACATATATGCCATAAGAGAGACATATCACAGGTCCTGATAAACCAATAAATGATGAGCTGATTGTTCATGATCATATTTATTGTCGTCAGCATTTACCCTTAAGCTCAATTCAATATCATAGAAAATCGTAGCACATCACGTAGAATTCGATTCACAATAGTATACACACGTACATGATAAGTTCAATCGATTATTCAACTAAACAAAGTACTTTCAACAAATCTATTTTACTTATCCATAGTTTGAGTTTCACATAGAATAAACTTTACTGATGATAATATATCAAAGATTCAATACTAACAAGATCAACAAAAGATAAATAAATACTTACCACAAAACGTTTTGGTACATATTTTATTTTTGACGAAGCTGTTTCAACTTTAAGTGCATCTTGTTCCAATGCAATAAAACGATTTTTTAATGATTTCGCTTGTCCTTTAATTGATACAACTTCTTCATTAGTTGAATATTGTTCGTTTAGACTGATGCCATCATGTGGAGGAGTTATTGATTTTCTGAAATTTGATTTATATGTTTTCATTTAATGAAAATAAATAAACATTTTAGATTTCTAATTAAATTTACCGCCGAGTACCATCCGATGATTCGGGTGGTGGTGTAAATTGTTTAAGAGCTTTTCGTTTTTGTATTGTATTATTTTGCTCAGCATTTTGTAAGAATCTAGCAAAATTCAATAGATTATTTGCTTTTTTTTAATATGAAATATTAGAAAAGAAACAAGTAGAAAATTCTCTACACTAACACGCTAGATTACTATCTTGAAATCAAATATACCTTTCGCGAACAGCTTTTGCATAACCTGATTCAATATTTGTTTTATCATCTGCATAGTTTGAATTTTGAGAATTAATTTCATTCTGAAAATAAGTCAAGAAATCAATCTTGAAATTTTCTTTGTCGAAATTACATCTACTTACATCATCAGAAGGTGGAATACGTCGTTCAGAATCTGGCGGTGGTGGTGTAAAAGGACGTAGTCCACGTCGTTCAGGTGGTGGTGTATTTTCTTTATCAATTGTTTTCCACATTTGAACAAGATTTTTTGCTTTACCTAAGTGTAGAAATATTTTTCAAAAAATTCTTCGATAAAACCTAAGAAATATGTCGTACCTTGCTGAACATTTTCAGTCTCATGTTTACTTTGTGTTTCTGACGTATCTCGGTCAGGTGAACTTTGTTTTGTTTTCCATTGTTCCACTAATTGTCTTGTTTGACCTTTCTCAAAATAAATTTCTTCGCCCTTATCACCTTCACGTACGACGACCCCATTTTCCTATTTATTTAACGAAAAATAAATAAATAATTAGTAAAGAATGTATAAGTAAAAAGCTAATTAATGAAATGTACTACAGTTACGATTAGTTAGATATATTGTAAGGAATCAAGAAGAATTAACGGGAAACAATAATATTACATTTATTTTTCTCGACAAATAAACGCAGTTGACTACTTACAATTTTTGTGTATGACATGTACGAACTTCTTCTACTTTTTTTTCTTTCAATTCGTGTATGAATGCAGCTCGCTTGTATATCTCGCTCGTCGATTGTGTCACTTTTCTCTATTTCGAAAATGATAGAGAACGGATAATAAATATCGTTGCACTGTCTCTCATTTTTAAGCTAAGTGGAAAGAGAAAAGAATACATGAATGAACTTTTGCATGCACTCAACCGATGATGATTGAAGGTCACTTCTTTTTAGTTCTTTCTTTTACGTAACTATCATTCTTTTTTTCTATCCAGCTACTAGATCACTAATCGAATAGAATATATAAAATGCACATCGATTACTCGGCTACTAGGATAGTTAACTTCATCAATCAAGAAATCTGTCTAATATATATGCATATGTATGTAAGTCATATAGGCTCTTACACGACATAGATAATTATCTTTTCAATCGTATATCTTCTGTTCCATTGCTTCTCTGCTTCTTTTTTTCGCGTAAATGTAGAGAAAAAACATTAAAAAGTACCTATTATTCACGTCAATGAGCACAAAGTAAAATCTCGCTAAAAATTATTTAAGAACAAAAGTAAAAGAAAACATTTTACAATAGCTATTCATGCTGTTTTAATTGCTATTTAGAGAATAGCAATTTTCTAGATTTCTATCTGTGCTATCGAAAAGATCCGCAATGCGATGTGCTAGGTCAAAATATATCAGTGTGCGATAAAGCAATGAATTTCAGTTTATCCAAGATCAATAGTTATGACATTGCAGCAGTGCATTGTAAGGGAGATATGGCAAAAGAATACAGGCGTTTTTTGTACTAATAGAAAATCAAGTAACGAAGAAAAACAAAATAAGCATAATGTATGTTGAGCAATATATCAGACACATACTCATATCAGATGCATACAACATAGTGAAGGTATCTGCATACATTGACGGGATGGAAATGTATTCAAAAAGTACCTCGTCGTCAGTGGCTACAACAATGGTTTGATCCGTACCCGTCGATTTTATCTTCAATCTCACACTCATAGTAATAAGCGTGTCAGAAAATTCGACACGCTAAAATAAAATAAGAAAGGAAATTATTGATGTGTACAACTGAATTTTAAATAAAATCAGTTAAGTTAGTATTTTAAATTAGTAGATCAGAAGAAGAAGACAAACCATTCCACTAGAGAAAATTTTCTAAAGAAAACCTACGATCAATGGATGTTTTCTTCTCAATGTTGAACCATTTAATGGCTGACACGTACTAACGTGCCATCGAAAACCCTGTGGATACGTATAATGATATATATGTTTTTTCATAGAAATAATTATAATCAAAACTATAAAGAATTCCACAAGAAACAAACAAATAAAATCCCAACTTACATCAACACGTAATTTCACATCACCAGCAGTACTTCCTCTTGCTGCTGATGATGCACCGTTTTCCAAATTTTTAAACATGGCTGCACGTTCTTTTGCCACGCCACGTTCAAGAAGTTCAGTTCCAAAATCTACTGTTCGTTTAACCTTGAATATCGAAATAAAATTATGTTTACAATGAATTAAATTTAATTCACAGCTTACTGTAGTTTCATCTTGTTTTTGAAATACTATGGCTCGATTTTTTGCTAAACCACTTTCAATATCATCAGTTAGCATTGCTGATGCTGATTTTGTGGTTGTCGGTTTACTAGCATCAGCTATGTACTGTTCTTTAATGATGCTTGCCAATCCAGCTGTTACATCAATATTTTTTTCTGCTGATTTAAATTCACTATTCATTAGCAATGCAAATTGTTGACACCGAGCTATTGCTAAACCTTGTTCAGTATCCATATCAATTTGTCGACCCGGTGAACGTTGATTTTGCTGTTCGGAATCAACTTTCGATAAAAATTCCGAAAGTTTAGCTTGTGCAAAGCCGGTTCCAGTAATATTGGCTATTTCATCTGAATATTTTAATGATTTTGGACTATCAGATATTTGACCATTTTCAAATTTTGCTTTTGTTTCTGTTGCGACACCATTTAATGCATCGCGTTCAATAATAATCGTTTTATTTAGATTTGTTTCATTATTAATCTGTTGTTGTTGTTGCTGCTCGAACACTTGTTTTGTCAATGATGTTACACCAGCAATAATATCTGTTTCTATGGGTATTTTAATTTTATTTGATTCAGTTTCTTGTTCGAATTCGCCCTGTTCGAAAGCTTGTTTTTTGGATGATGTTAAACCACTTTGTACACGAATATCTAAACGTTTTTCGACACGTGGTTTATTGGCATCAACTAAGCCTTTTTCAAATTTATCTTTGACTTCAGCCATTTCATGATAAGGTATCTAAAAAACAATAGGAAAATAAATAATCTATTTTGTTTTCTTTTTTTTTTAAATCTACATGTTCTTTTGGTGTTGTTCTTTTTCTTGGCGATCGAATAATACCATTCGACGGTTGACTTTCATCTTCATTATCTTCTTTATCTTCTTCTTCAACTTGACCATTGGCTAATCCTATTTCTTCAAATCTATTTTACGAAAGAAACGATATAAAATTTCCTTATTAAAAGTAATACTTACTTTTGAAATGTATTTTTTAATTTTTGACTTGGTGCAAACTTTTCTACTTTGTGTAATTGTTGATTTTCATCTTCTCCGTTAGCTTTTCCACTAAATAATTTTGTTATATTTCGTAATCTTTCTAACGTATCATCAGATGCATTCGTGTCATCGATTGCTATTAATAGACAAAGAAAGAGAAAAACGTTATTTATACTATTATCAATTGAATAAAGAAGAAGAAAAAAATTATAGAAAAATAAAATATCTTTACATACATGAACCTTCGTTTGAATCTGACATTATCTATTCACACTATTCTTTTCTGTTAACAATAATATGTGTTTCCTTCTTCTTCTACTGATGAATAACAACAGTGAGAATTTTACGTGTGCACGTATTATAGATATTTGTGAGATATGTACTGCATCGTCGCTCTTTTCTTTTCTGTACTCCGGTCTATATAGAACGTATAGATAAATAGAAGAAAAAAAATGTGCCCTATGCGCTGCATGCACATATAAACAAAGAGTACCATCAGTAATCATTGGATATAAACTAAAGAATTGAAGGAAGAAACATAATCTATCATAGTAAATACTCATTCGTTCTTCTTCCCTATCAGAGAACTAGATAGAAAGAAGAAAAAGAGGTCAATATCTCTAACATACATGTTAAGTAGAGAAGTTGTTTTTGTCTAGGCATGTAACTCTTGGAACGTGTGGACTTTTAGAACAGTTTGAATATGCATTTTAAATCAAAAGTTTTATATTGAATAAATTTATCTTATTAAACTTTTGTTAATAATAATCGAAGTTAATTACGTCATCATTAAACTAAATATTGGTAAGATGTCGTCTTACAACAATTAGACTAAGGTTATTGTAGCCCACTTAATCTAGCTTATCGGCAATTGGTAGACAATCAATTATGATAGAAAATTTTCATATGACAAAAACAATGTTGCTTTTGAGTATATCTGTAAATATCGATCTAGATTTATCAATATATGATTATTATTATTATCAAAATAGTAGTTTGATATTTTTATTTACTTAGAATCATAGAGATCGTAACTTGTAAATGTCAAAAGGAGCCACCTAGTCGATCATCATTTCAATATGTGAAAAATGTCTTTTGATCACTCCAAACAAAGAAAATAAACAATTGATTATCATATTTCTTATTGTGACATAGGGTTAGTAATGATGACGTTGTTTTCGTATCCGAGAAAAAAAATGTTGATCTCAATAACAAAATCTATTATGAACAGAAAAAACCTTACGACCAATCAATAGATTTGTGAATAACATAGTTTGATGTTTGTACGTATCGACAATCAAGATAAATTCAAAGAAAATGAAGTCTAATCTTCGTCTAAACGCAGGAAACAGATGAATACCTGTTAAGCTCCTTGTACACTCGGTTATGAAAACAAAACAAAAAAGAATTCGAACAACATTGGGAGGCATAATTTTGACTTAATCGTATGTTTCTCGTACTCTTTATTCCTTTGTTATTTCATGTAGCTAGCATCTTGTTACATTCGATTTATAATAAAATTATTGATCAGTATGTGTCTTCTTTTTTTTGGATGATCGGAAATGTTGATACACATGGAGTATTATTGCGTAATATGAGCAACTATGATAATGATTTCTTGCCATATGTTATTCATAGAATGCGCTAATTTATATTATTCATCAATTTCCGATATCCGTATAAAATATTTTTCGAATTTTTCTAAAATAATTTTTTTAATTATATTAAATCGATTTACCTCGTTCATTATTTGTCTGATCATCACTACGAAAAGCTAAAATTGTACGAATAATATAAATATGAATAAATGCAGCACAAAACCATTCATCTATCAAGGTCCAAAATAGACGCCAAACATTGTTCGCATTATTGGTCATTGTAGAGTTAAAATGATAGACAGTATGAAAAAGAAGGATTGTTCAATAACGATCTACGTGATTATGTGATCAGTGAACTTCTTTCGCTCGTTAATCTCTTTCTCGGTCGGATCAATAGCGATTGTCTGTTATCATTAAATCATATTACTATTTTTCTTTTATTGAATCAATGCTTTGCCGTTTGAACTCTATATTTAAAGAGCGATTGAAAATTTAAAAGAGAACAAATAATATTCTCTAGTCGAGAATACCTACATAACAAAACTTTACCTTTGAAAATAAATAACGAGTTAAAAGTTACGTGTAACGCTGTGATTCATAGAGTCAGTTGTTGAACTTCTGTAATCAAAACACACTAGTAAACTTTGCTCTTCTTTAAAATATTTCTTTTATTATTTAATACAGAACATTTCTTCAAATACAAAATCCAGTCAACTCTCATGAGTATTATTTTAAACAGACAAGAAATTCGATTTTAATTGTTATAGAGAATTTTTTTTCGTAGCAAGAGATTCTTGTATGGTCTTTGCATATAATAGTTTTGTTTGTCTTCATTACTGTGATGGGCCTTGAGGTGAAATTAATAGCGACCTTCGCTTGTGTTTAGCAACATTTTTCACCTTGTTTCCTAAGATTAGAAAAAGTAATGAAACAGAAAGTCAACATGAATTTCCATATGTAATGCAAATACGAAAGAATAACAAAATACATAGGCGGACGGTATCAAGTATTGTATTATTTTCCTTGCCTGAAGAAAGTGTGACAAATGTTATGATAAATGTCATACAATAAAAATAAGTGCAATAATAGCAAGAATAATTGACAGTCAATGTGCAAACATTGATTAATAATAGTTGATAGGATATATTTTATAGCTTATTGTGTAGAATCTCACATGATCTACTAGATTCACTTTCAAAATTTATATAATATGTTTGTATTTAAAAAAAAAATACGCGTGTGATTTTTAAAATAAAAATATTTTTTGAACTGCACCAATAATCAGATTGCGAATATCATCAACCGTATTCGTAAGCGATCTTGATATTTTAGCTTTTAAATCATATACAAATCAATATATATAGAACTAGTTAATGTGTTATTTGATTGGCACAATTGAAGAACGAAGAGAAATGGTATGACTTGACCGAAGGAATATATCATAGCTCTGATTAGAACGAATCATAACGATAAACAAACTAACGAAACTATGCATCGACGTGTTGAGAAATTTCAGGAAATTTCAATTCAAATATATTTTTCGGGGTGTTGTCATTATTATATTCATTAAACGTGTGACGAAAGGCCTTCAATAAATAAATAATATATTATAATAGAGACTGATTCGTATCATAATTGCAAATCATGTTCAATGAATTTTATTCTCATGTGTACTAATCGTTTCGGAAATGTTTGTGAATACACAGTTGTCATTGTAACACATAGCTACTTAAGCTTTCAGAATTCATGGCAATAATAAAATGTATGCAATGCGGTTCTGCTTGTTAATATTCTGATACATGTTATCATTCAATTCAACATGAAGATAACGAATTTTAATTTAATCTCTTTCGAGTTCACATTGAAATTTTCAGTTTGGGTATTTCTCAATTTGATTGATCAACTTTAACATCAGCTGAATGCTACAGTTGGATAATCGATGATTACATAAATAGAAAACATGTCAGAGGATGAATCACGAAAGTATGAATCAACTGTGTTTGTCGGTAGTCGAAAGCGTTACTTGGAAGTAAGCCAAAAAAAAAAGGAAAGAACAATCAAGTACATCTCGCTACCCTATTCATTAAGAAAAAATTTAATGATGCACAAATCAACAATAGGACTGATGAAAGTTTGTGCACATTCATGAACAGAAAGAATCAATTCAAAATAAATTCACATGAAAAATGTACAAGATTTTTCTTATCAACATCGACATGGTTGGCGGATATGCATCAAATTTTTACAAACTGTCGTGTTTCTTATATAGGTTTTATTATTTTTTTGATTTAACTAGACTTATAGTCACCGTATATGTTTTAAAAAAAATGACATCGGCAAAAATAAAAAAATAAAGCAATGATTTATTTGTTTTTCTGTTCGTAAATCCATTTTGTATATGGTTCTTCAAATAACAATGCGATTTGATAAACTAGGTAAACTTCTATTGTAAGTAAAATACCAACAGGTGAAGCATAATATAATGCTAAAGCAAAAAAGGATAATGTTGATCCAATATACATTGGATTATTTAATATATTGAATGGAAATGTTGTTACTGGCGCATCCATCAGAATTCCACAATAATCGCCTAAAAATGTTCCAGTAATACCCAATTGATAAAATGATGATAAAACAAATATTTGTCCAACAAGAAATAATAGAACAGAAATATATTCTATAACTTGAGAATAATCATCTATTAATATAAATTTTGGTTGATTTTGTATTGTTTGTCGAATTAGATAATCTCGATAGGATGAAAATGAAAATATCCATATCGTTAATAAATAACATACAATATAACGTTTATATTTCGAAGTATTTTTTGGTATCAATGCATAACATAGACGTGCGAAAATATTCCATACAAGAGGACATAGTATAATAATGAAACATGTATAATGTAAATGCGAATCATTGAAACGAATCATCGTCGTAGGAGATATTTCATTCAAGAATCAAATTTAAGAATCTGAATTCGTTTTTTTGCTTCAGAAGTGAAAGCAAACGTAGGAGTTTTTGTTTTCGTAGTTAAAAGATAAAATTCGTTTAGGTATACTATGGATACGATATGGTAATTTATGGGCTACTAGTAAATTTTCAAGATTGAACCGATGATTGTTTTTGAATGTTTCATTTTTTGAAGTTGAAAGATCTAGCTTATGTGTTAGATAGTGTATAAATTTCAAAAAAGAATTCCAATACCAATTCAGTACTTAGCTTTCAAATATTAAATAGATGACCATCGTAATCACTGTATAATCAAAATTAAAGTAACAATACAATTAATTCATATGTCTAATTGAAAATGGAGAGCTCTATAGAATGAAGATAACGTCGTCAATGATGTTTTCTTTAGTTTTAAATAGTATTAATAAGTTAATGTGCATGTTTTTAAATTTTCATCAATAAAAATCTTCAATATTCTATTTCGTATCGACTGGCTGCATATTTACAATGAATAGATTGAAATCATTCAATAATCTTGATATTTCTGTCATAGACGTCTGCCATCGTACACTGCTAGCAGATTACTTTTGCTTTTTCTTGCTAACCGATTATTGATGATATATTTCACTGCGGCTTTTTTTATTTGTTTTTTGCCCTTGACTTTTTGCTCCTGTATTTAACGACTCGTCTCTGTAAAATTGTCGGGATACATTATCAACACATCAATATTTATGAAGAGGATAGGTCAAAGGTGAAAATCTGCAATCGAACAAATTTTGTTGTCGTTTGGTCGCAACAAAATTCTCTTGTTGAAATATTCAATGAAAATAGCAACTGAAAGTAGACAGTTGCTTTCGATATGAATTTTGATAACCTCCAAAGTACCTGAAAAATCAGATAGACGTTTTTTTTCTCATTTTTTTTCATCAATATTCATTGAATGATTGCCTTCTAATTAACATGTATGTTGCTTTTATGTACATACAAAAAAGGTGTTTAATAAAGCATAGCGTGGGTATATTTTTCTACTTCTATTTCACCGGTACAAATAGATGCTAATATAAATTAACGAAACAATTTTTGACTGAATATTCATTTAGTTGAAATCGTTAAATATCGAACTAATTAGATATTTATTAGATATAAATTCATCCAGAATTAATAGGTCAAAGAGACTTGAACAAAAACACTCGATCTTACTAATATGTTTTTGTTCCGACTCATTTTTTCCCTATAGATATTATTACGTTGTTGTACGCCGTCGTTTAATTTTTTTTCAAACAGCATCGAATAATTTTTCTCAGTAGTCCTAGAAGAAAACGCCTTATATATATATATATATATATATGCAATTTACGTTGCATATCATGCATAGATGTAACAGCGCATCAATAATAGCTATTTGCTGATCAAAAACAAAACAAAACAAAACAAAACATTCATCATTTAACAAACTGTCTTTCTTTTTGTTTTTTGATATATATACATCGAATGTTAAATGTTCGTGGTTGACTTGTAAATTGCAATTTTACATCCATCGATAACTCATTTTTCTTGTTCTTGTTTTAAGCTTATTTTTTCCCTTTTATGCTGTCACTTCTTTTTTTTCTCTCTCTCTAATCATTTTTGTTCTCATACGTTCCAGCTGACAAGGCAGGCTATATAACTCACCGCAAACCTCAGTTGACAGTATCTCGTCTCATCATTTTTTTTCTTCCTTATTTTCATACACAGGTAACTTCCAATGGCAACTGTAATCAGCTCTTACACACCTTATATGTATCATCAACAACCATATTATTATCCAACATTACCATCAGTTTATCCTACACAAACTGGTGGCAATAATCATTATTATCCAATGCAAACTGGTCCCAATAATCTTTATTATCCAATGCAACAACAACAACAACCTCAACAGCAACAACAACGACAGCCAACAAAAGTTGAATATGTCGATTCAGAATTACAATCATTACGTCCTCGTCGTCAACCTCGAATTTATCGACAAGTAATTGTATTACCCACACCAGAACCGATCTATCGACAAGTGCGACACCGATTACCAACACCTGAAAGGCAAGTCATTCAACGAACAATCGTTCAAAAAGGCAACGGTGATGTCATTGTTCGAGAACAACGACCAAAACCAAAAGTCAGAAGCCACAGCCGATCAGAACATAACACACAATCGCGATCGTCTCGTTCACGACAAGTACATACTGACTAAAAACACATTTTTCTAGTTTAATGATTGATGGCTTTGCGTTACGCTACGTTCTTTGTTTGTTTTTGATTTTCAAACTTTTGTTATAAGCATTCGATTCATTATACTTTTTCTTACGCGATGTAACTTTAAACTAAACACAAATCCCAATTAGAAAATAAAAATTTTCACTACTTGCAGAAAAAGTTTTCTTTTGCAATTAAATTACTTCGAAAACACTTTGACTATTACAACTATCATGAACAAATTTTAGCCGTTTCACTGAATGATTTAAAAAAATACGAAGAAATTTCAAACGCACTGATGTAGAAATCGTGATTGATCTAATCATGAGTCACTGTGCTCAATGATTGCGAAATAATTGTATGTAAAGTTATATCGATGAGCAACGCTTACAGCTATTTGCAAGTCATTGTAATACCGTCGATTTTGGTGATAAAAATATATTCATGCTATAATACTTTCATATAGCTACAACGCTGCTTTTATGAATAGATAGTAACAGTTTAATATTCTTTTAATCATGTACTCTCGAATACTTTCTAATTATCCAGATGGATCTATAGAAAAATAGGGCTTCTTCGCCCATAGATCACTAGGAAGTTGTTGGTTATGCTTCACATTACTTTTTTTTATATTGACAAATATTTTTTTTTAATGCATCAAGATATTCTATTTTCGGATACATATATGTCAGAGTTGACTTTAAAATTCAGTTGCCTTTAAAAGTCAACTGGTTGAGTTTAAAATATTTTATAGTCAACTAGTTACCTTTTAAAGGCAACTGAATTTTAAAGTCAACTCCGACACATATATATATATATATCGTCTACAGTCGAAACAATTGAGAATATTTAATTATGTTGTGAAGAAATATCAAGAATGTGAATTACATTATAGAAACTAATTAGACTCATTATATGCCATGGCTGAAATATGAATGACATGCTTATAATACGGTAATCGATCCGAAACGTTTTTACACGATATTAATTGAAAATAAATTTTGACTCATCAAATGTGAACTGAATTTTCAGTAATTGCTTGACATCTAAATCATGATTGAAGAGCCCTTTTAGTTCGTATTAAAGTTGACGATAATTAGAATAATGCATGAAATTTATTTAAATAAAATATTCAAATTCGCATGAAATTTTTTCTCGTTTTTTAGTAGGTACTTGTTTTCTATTGCTTTCAATTGATTCTGAGTTTGATTATATGAGATGGCGGACTTGGTTTAAAATATTTATGCTTACATAATAATATTTATGATTGACTTTCTTTTAGGTTGGATTTTTACAAGAAACCTATTGGCTGTAATCGAAGTACATGCTTACTAAAAGATTTTCAGTTAAATCGTTGTTTCTGTGTTGCGAACCGTGAATATGAAAAAATTGATCGAATAATATATTAAAGAAATCCTTTTCAATTACACTAGACTAATCGCTCTTGTGTTGAGTTTACTCATTCAGACAAAGACTCATCGATTCATCACGTTCATCTTTTGAAATAAAATAAAAAAACAAGGAAATTCTGATCGATTATATGCTTTCAAGTGTTTTTATCAGAGAAAATAGTTTCGATATCACAGTTCGTAAACAAAAAACGTTAGCTATCTATTTACGAATTTCAGTAAGTTTAGAAGTTTTATAAGTCACTCATGTCGAGATTGAGAATAAAATACCGCTTTTACAGCATTTTTAATGTATCTACATTGATGTTTTAGTCTTATAACTGTGCAGTATATTTTTAAGATTCCGAAATGTAAACAGCAATGGCGGGTATTTAAGACTCACGTCAGAAAAACTATATTCTAATTTTGTTTTTGATTTAGAAGTAGTACGGTCGATTTATCCTGGACTATGCACACACACATTAACACTGTGGGCTTCTTTCTCTTGTTATTTTAAAGAAATATAGATTTTTACTAGTTCCCAAGGTGTATTTAGTTAAAATATAAATATATTTTACTCCCACTAGAGTATGATATTCAATTTTGCGTTATTATTACGTAGTGGCACAAAAGAAATTTCAAGTAATATAGATGAATATTTATCTCCGAAAAAATAATATATAAAATGTACTAAAAATAAAATAAGCTTATATTGGCTTATTTACTTCCGATCTCTATGTAGAATCTATAACTTATTGCTAATTTTTGTTTTACAAAGTAGTCTAGTAAAGAAATATTTAAATAATTCATCGTAAGTTAAAGTTAATGGATATCATTTCTTTTGCTTGAATGTTTTAATGTCTGACAGCATCATTGTATCATTAATATTTTTAATCATTGCATTATATTCGTTTTTCAAAATCAATCTATAGCATCGAAGTTTTTAAATCTTCTGAAATCAAAACTCCTTCAGATGTTCGCTTCCTTCATCACATGAACTATGCTTATAATCCACCACTGTAGTAGTTCAATTCCTGCCGATAGAACTTTAACAGGATTTACATATCCATTGTATTTGGAATTGACACACATGGTTGATGTATAAATTTCTCTCGACAGTTGAGTTAGCGCTAAATCTATATAGTAATTATTCTTGCCAACAATGCGTAGTTTTTGTGTACTCAAAAAGGGAGTACACTCTAGAATCGGTCAGTGTGTCCGGCCGGCCGGCCGTAGGCACGATAACTTTCGAAAGGAGAGTCAGACCGTGATGAAATTTTCCACACAGTTCAATCTCATGAATATCTCGGTCAAGTTCCAAGATGAGAAGAATCCCTCAATAAATGGTTGAGTTATCGAAAAAATTGTCATTTTTGACCAGGCCATCCCTGAGGGGGAGTACAGGGAATTTTTTTCAAAAAATAAATCTTTCTCAGAATTATTCACAACATATATAAATCGACTCAATTTTTAGCGCTGATTCCGAATCTGATATTAGTTTTGAACTAAACCGTAGCTTTCTGATGAAACATCGCCTGAAAAACGTCTCAAAATGCACAAAAGCTGCATCCAGAAATCAAATTGCCTAGTTTCTCATGATAATTTTGGTGTTCAGACATTCTAGAATGACTCGTATATCCCATGCACTTTTTGCAGTACACATAACTTTCAGATGAAATCCGAAGTTTCCACATTTTTTTTATGAAAAATCTGCTCATCAGCATTAAACTCGAATCAATATTATGCTTTTTTTCTCAGAATTTCTTAACCTACATGATATAGTATGTTAGTTTTTCTATTTAGTATGAGACAAATTCCATTCACCCAAAAATTTCAACACTAAATCTCTTGCATCGCTTCGGATTCGCTAGACAATATTTGTATGCAACTGTGTTACTTTTACGTAGCATACCTTTGTTAATTGCATAAAAATCAAGAACAAGACCATAAATTAGACATCTCCTACCATCGTACCTTGATCATATCAATCATCTTGTGGCACGATGTTTTCCCTCCATCTCAAAGTAAAATCGAGCACTGGTGTATATAAATGTCTATAAAAAGAAGAAATTCCTGGCCTCAGATTGCAAGTTTTTGAAAATGTAGGAATTAGCACAGGATGAAACTTTTTAAAAATACAGGAAAAGGTGTAAAAAATCAGAAAAAATAGGATATTGAAAATTCGTTGTTTAGATTCGAATTAAACGTTCTTTTAAACTTTTCCTGCATCAACTTCACATATGCACGAAATTTTTGTCAAAACAAGAGCGTTTTTAGCAATTTTCTACTATTTTTCATTTTTATAGGAAATACAGGAAAATTCATCGAAATATAGGAGAAAAAATAGGAATTTTTTTAAATATAGGAAATATAGGACGAATCCGAGGCCAGGTAAGCAATGTACTTATCATAGTAAAGAAGTACTTTGTTTTGTACTTCGAAAAAATCGAAAAACATCAAGTAAAATAAAAGTAAATTGTGGATTAGTAATTTACTTTAAATTTTGATTAATTATGATGATATTTGTTTTCATTTTTTTTATCATTCGTTGGTTTCTCATCGCCTTTCAAATTGTTTATCGAGTCTTGTTTGAACATTGCTCGTAGTTCCAGTCTGAACGATTGTCGCAATTCACTTCATCATTTTATTGAAAATTTTCGTCTAGTTTATATCCAGCTGAAAATATCGATTACAACAATATCGAGTATTCAATTGTAAGTTCAATATTGAGTAAAACATCTCTTGCACATTTGATGTATCCTTCTTTATTTTTTCCCTTGTTTTCAGCAAAATAGAGTATAGCCAGGTCGAACAGTACGGCCCATATACGGTCGTTGACGGTTACTTTACGACTATTTTACAGGCGAAAGTTTGCCGTAATATCTGGCGCAGTAATACGGACCGTATTATCATGAGAGTACGGAGCACAAACTGCCGTAAACCATGAAAATTCGGTCCCGTTTACGGTGCCGTATTACTGCGCCAGGTATTACGAGCAAATACGGCCTATTTACTGCCGTAAATATACCGTTTTGACATCGTTTACCGTCGATAAACAGACCGTAAACGAGTCCGTTTTAATCAACCTGGGTATATTTGTTTTTTTCTCTTCGTTCCGCTCATGTTCACTAACCTAAAAACTCACTCTGTTTAAAAAAATCTGCATATACTTTTGAACTTTTTCTGTCATGATCATCGAGCGTATTCAACAAATGTTTTGTCTGTTGTCTCTATGAATGAAGTGCCATCTGAACAATGTTCGTCCGCCGACGTCTTTTTCTTTTTCTTTCACCTATTTCACTGAACATAGACACAAATTGATTCGCTCATGACGAATAGTGAACATATATAAAAGGCAGACAATCTTTAGTTAATTCAACATCCATTTCATTGTTTTTCTCAGAGAAAATGGCTATTGATATGGTAAGCGTTATGCTCATTTTTTGACTTCATTGTGAACATTCTTCACTCTAGATTTCCATTTCGATCAGAGAAAATTGTTGATTCTATTTCGATTTCTATAGTTTTAAACCGTATCAACCAGTCGAATAACTGCTCTTGTTTCTCTTGAATAAAGCTGAACATTTCAGATTCAACTTTAACTAAACAT